TGCCTTCTCTGCATTTATAATCTGTAGATTTTTTTGATGATGGCCATTCTAACTGGTCTGAAGTGATACTTCGTGGTAGTTTTTATTTGCATTTCTCTGATAACTAATGATGTTGAGAATCTTTTAATGTGCTTTTTGGCCATCTGTATGTCTTCTTTGGAGAAATGTCTGTTTAGATCTTCTGTCCATTTTTTAATTTGTTTTTTGATATTGAGCTGCATGAGCTGTTTGTATATTTTGGAGATTAATCCCTTGTCAGTTGCTTCCTTTGCACATATTTTCTCCCATTCTGAGGGTGGTTTTTTGTTTGTTTGTTTCTTTTGCTCTGCAAAAGCTTTTAAGTTTAATTAGGTCTTCTACTACAAACCAGTTACAGAATGTGTTTCAGTGTTTGTGGGGAGAGAACATCAGGTCTTTGTGTTTCGTTCCATATAGTGTGTTAAATGCAAATTTGGGGGCCTCTCTGACCTGCAGAAGATTTTACTTTAGATCTGCAGGTAGGCTCTTACTTGAAACATGTTATTAAGTAGACATATGTTTATGCAGGGGCATGAAACCATGTATAAAAATAAATCAGATTAGTCCACTTGAGAAAAATAAATTACTTAACACCAGTTTTATTTTAAACCTGTGCTAACCCCACTTGGAAAATTCTTATCATTTCCTTCCTCTAATTTTTTTTTTCCATGTTCTGTCATATTCTGGAGCAAGACCAACTGTTGCAATTAATGCTATGACTTTTCAGTAGCAGACACTAATAACAGGACAATGCAGTGATGGTTTTTTATAATCAAAACAGTGCAGAAAATAGTTATTCTATGCATAGATTTATGAGATAATGAGAATAGGTGTCAGATATGAAGTTGAGGTGAGTATATTCTAGAGGGAGTTAAGCACTCTGAAAGGAACATAGACAGTCTTATTTTAAATATGCAAACATTTTCTTTGTAACTTCTAGTAACTAATGAGTGGCCTGACCTTCATGTGATGGCTATCTCCTTTGTAGAAAGCTGAATGGATGACAACAACATGTAATCATGCACTCTATGCGATCTGTGACGTGTTCACCCAGTATTTAGAAGTGCTCAGTGATGTCCTTTTGGATGACATTTTTGCCCAGCTCTACTGGTGTGTGCAGCAAGGTAGGTCTGTCCTGATAAATGACACAGGGTTAAATGTGACCCTGGTGATACACAAATGAATTGCTCTTTTCTTTTCCAGACAATGAGCAGTTGGCACGATCTGGTACAAACTGCTTAGAGAATGTTGTTATTCTGAATGGTGAAAAATTTACACTAGAAATCTGGGATAAAACCTGCAACTGCACACTGGACATCTTCAAAACCACAATCCCACATGCGTAAGATTTTATACCACTTTGTGTATTGAATGATGGACATATAAGATTTGATAGGAACTAGTGATTTCTCATAACAAATGCTTTGTCAGATATCTCAGTGTTCTATGAATTTGTGTTTATTACAAACCAAACTCCTATAAACCGTAGCAAATACATGAATTGTTTTATAAACCAGAATGTTTAGTCTTATCATCTAAATTTGGGTCAAAATGAAGTGCTTTTATGAGCTTTTATTCATGCAGATTAAACCTATCAGTGGTGTTGAATTTTTAAAAAATCTCAGCATTTATTTTAGTTACTGTGAGTAGTCTAAGGAAACTTCATTTGTAAATACAGTATTTCATAGTTATTTGTCATCCTTTTCTGAGGGATAAGTTTGGAATTGAATTGTAGGTGAGTTTTTACTAGTGGGGAAACTAAGACATAATCCTGCCACTTGACAGTTGATGGCACCCAATCGTTTGTAGGACAACTTGAACTTCCCCAGCTTCTTTTATGTCAAAGTATGTTAGCTGTGGCATGTCTCACGCTCTCAGTGATTGGTATGGTTTTGGTATTTCAAAGGCTCTTGACCTGGCGTCCCATTTCTGGAGAAACTGCTCCCTCAACCCCATCTCCTGTGAGTGAAAACCAGTTGGTAAGTTTAAATAAATCAAGCCTATTTTAAATCATTGAACTATTCGTGATAAGAAATTTTACCATGGGGCACATCCTTTAATATGCGCCCAGCTCCTTTAGAAAGATGGTGTAAAATATAGATGGTTCTGAGACGAAGATTCAAATGATTTCTCGAGTGCAATAGGCAAATACCAGTTTACAGGAGGGTGTACGTGCCAAGCTGAAGATGTTATTGGATATTGTTTAAACATCCAATTTTGATAAAAATTTTACCTCAGAGAAAAGCTAGAAAAGCAGAATAAAGAATTCCAGCAGACCCTCCCCCTGCACACTTATTTGTTGTCACAAATTACTAATAAACTTCACAGCTTAAAGCAGCAGCAGTGTATTCTCTCACAGTTCTGGGGCCAGAGGTCCAAACTGAGGGCTTCGCAGGGCCACACTCCTTCCCCGGGTTTGCTGCCGCTAGCTGCTGCGGGCTGCTGACAGCCCCTGCCGCTCCTTGGCTTGTACACACATCACTGTTTGCTGCCTCATCTTTACGTAGCTGTGTAAAGTCAGATCTGTGTATCAGACCTCTCCTTCTCTTTTAAGGACACTAGTCATTAGATTTAGGGTCCACCCTAAGTTCAGAATGACCTGTTCTCAAAGTTCCTTAACTCTACAGACCCTATTTCCATGTAGCCTTTGTAAGTACCAAAGGTTAGGACTTGGACTTAGCTTTTTGGGGCCACTATTTAGCCCACTGCAGTCTGCCCTCTGGTGCCCCAAAATTCACATCTGTCTTCTGGGCTAAGACATTTATCCCGTCCCAACATCCCCAAAGTCTCAATTTATTGTAGCATCACCACTAAGTCCAAAATCTCATGTAAATAATCATCGTATCAGAAGTTCCAGATCTTGCCCTCTAAGTCATCTAGATCAGGTGCATGGTCTGTGCTGGAGCAAAATTTCTCTCTCTGGACCCATGAACCTGTAAAATAAATGACCCCCTTGCAAAATACAACGGTGGGCAAACATAAGTAAAGATTCTCATTCCAAAAGCGAAAATTGAAAGGAAGAAAAGGGTCACTTGTGGAGGCCGGCAGTGATCCTCAGTCTCTTCCTTGGCTCTGTCTGAGACCTGCAGCTGCCCTGGCTTTGCTTCTGGCCTCATGCTGGAACCAGGTGGAGCTGGCAGAGTAGTCGTGTCGGCCACCACATACTGTCTGACACTGCAGGTGCCTTGCATTTACTACCAAATCCTCCACAATCTGCAAAGAAACTGTCATCTTCATTTTCAGGCCAGAAAACCTCAGCTTAGGAGCGAGCTTCCTGGCTTTCTCAAGGTTACACGTAACTGGACTCTGGTGTGGTTCTGTGGACCTGGCAGCTTCTCTGCGGGGCCAGTCTCTTTGTCGGCCACCTTCTCACTGGCCTATCTGGATGCTGGTCTGGGGTGACAGCATCCTTCCTCTGCAGAGCTTTCCTGGGCTCAGCCTGCACTAGGTGTGCACACACCACACCCACTACATACACTCTGTTTGGATTTCACGACAGTTCATGTATATTGCTGACAAGTTTTGCCACACAGTGAAGCTTAGCGTTTTTATCTGTTACCCTTGGGTGGTGTCAGGCCTGATCTCAGTGAGAGTCAGAAAGTAAGCTTTTCTTTAAAAGATTACCAGCTCTTATCTGTGTGTAGTGATATTAAATAATTGTCCCACTATGTCCATTATTGCAGTGTGTACAGTGTCATTTTCATAGGGACACAATGTAAATTACTTTTTTAAAGACAATGTAATAGAAACTGTTTTCATCATTAACCTTTATTTGTTGTACTTAAAGTGAATCTTTTTTATTAGGATACAATATCACAGAAATCTGTAGATATTCATGATTCTATTCAACCAAGATCTGCAGATAATAGACAGCAAGCTCCATTGGCTTCTGTCTCGACTGTGAATGAAGAAATCAGCAAAATTAAACCCACAGCAAGTGAGTTATTTCTCTTAATCAATTGTGTATTTTTTTGTGTGTATGCAAGATAAGAAAGTTTTGCTTGTCCTCACACACACATCCTGTAGTTGGTTACTGTAGTCAGTTTATTCCTAAGTTGGCCGCAGCACGGACATCCCTGATAGAGGCTGTCTCGCAGGTGGTCGGGACTCTGCTGACACCTGCCAGGCTCATTATTTTTCCTACAGCGCTCTCAGCTGATGTTAGTTACAAGCACATGGGTGTTCTTCCTGCAGAAGAGGGGCCTAAAGGTCTGTCCTCAGCAAGAGGGGGGTAGCGGCCAGGGCGTCTGAGGACCACTCTGCCCCCCCACCCCCACCCCGGTGCTCCTCTGCACCTCCCCTCACCTTCAGTTCTTTTCACAAAGGGGGACTCCCTTGTTTTTCACTAAATGGGTTCAGTTTTGTTTACTGAACAAAAGTGAACAACACTGAGGAATGACAGCCTCCTTCCTGGAGGAAAATGAGAAATGTGTTCCATAGTGGCCGCACAATTTTGTATCCCACCAGCAATTCCATTTTTTCCACATCCTCACTAACATTTCAGTCTTCTTTTTCTCTCCTGAATAATAGCCATCCTAGTGGGTATAAAATGTTGTCTCGTTGTTTTACTCTGCATTTCCCTATTGATTAATGATGTTGAGTATTTTTTCATGTTCTTTTTGGCCATTTGTAATCATTTTTGGAGAAATACTTATTCGTGTCCTTTGCTAATTTTTAATTGGGTTATTTGTTGTTGAGTTGTAGGAGTTTCTTACATACTCTGGATACTATCCCCATATCACATACACGATTTGCAAGGGTTTCTTTTCTCCCATTCTATAGGTCATCTTTTCACATCTGATGGTAAATGCTCTGATGGTGCGAAAGTTCTTATTTTGCTGAAGTTCAGTTTGTCTTGCTGTTGTTGCTCACGCTTCTGGTGTCATGGTTAGGAACCAACCGCAGCCCAAACTAAGGTCAGGGAGATTTTCCCTAGTGTTGCCTTCCAAGAATTTTATACTTACAGCTCTTACATGTAGGAAGTTGGTCCATTTTCAGTTTATTGTTTTCAGGGTATTTTTATTAACCCTCGGTGTTTATACTTGTTGTTGAGGAAAGACAGATTTTGTACCTCCTGGAAAGGAGCCTCTAGCTTCAGTTACTATGTCTCGCCACTTAGAAGGGAGATAGGTGGTGATGAGTTGTCCATTTTCGTTTTTCATTCCTGTTTTCTGGAACACAGCTGTTAGAATCCATAACAGCTTCTGTCTACCCTGGAAAATGTCACAGTACATGGCTTTGCTCTTTCAGCCCCAGGACTGGACCTTGGAAGGGAAGGACATAGTTTCAAGTTTTCACTGAGCTGATCTGGGCACATGCCTTGAACTGGAGTGGAGAGTGCTGCCCCCTGCCCCTCTGATCCGAGGGCTCACGTTTCCTTCCTCTCGCCACCCCCTCGCAGTCCTTTAGAAGAGCTCCCGTGTCCCCCAGAGCCCTCCGTGCAGGGGATGGGGCAGCAGTGCTGCCCGAGGAGTTGGCTCAGAGGAGCACAGATTATGGCTGCTCCGCTCCTTCACACTCAGAAGCTGGTGCTGCCCAGTGAAATGGTCCCTAACATGACCCTGTAGCCTTGTGAAGCAGACTTATTGAGACAGACATTGTCCCCCAGACACATCACTGTCCCTGCCGGTGAGGCTGAGTCCAGCTCCTCACCCGCGACAGCTCTGAATGCCCACGCAGACATGGTGGCTGGTGAGAACATGTCTCCCCAGCCTCAGTCTCCCCGAGTCTGGGGTGTGGCAAGCGTATCCTGCCCCAGAAACCTGAGAGTGTAGTTATGACTTGGATGAGGGAGGGCTAGGAAGGGACAACTTGGACTTGGGGGTGTCTTTGGTTTTTTACATTTTTTAACTTGAGACCTAATACTAAGAACTGAATGTTCAGTACAGCAAAATTTCTGAAAACTATCTGGAAAAGAGCCGTCATGACCTAATAAAGAATAAATTTAAGCAAGTTGTTTGGCTGTCTTCCCCAAATTCCTAAAACCTGAATTTAACTTCTGGAAACTGGGGGATTCCCTGGCGGGTCCAAGTGGTGAAGACTCAAAGCTCTCACTGCCGTGGCCCACGTTCAGGAAACTAAGAGCCTGCAAGCTGCAAGGTGTGGCCAAAAACAAAAAAAACTAAATTCTAGAAATTGGTGCCAGAAAAGGGAGTTTGTGAGAAAAGCAAAGTAGAAAAAACCTGAAGGGTTGTCAAGGCGTCCAGTGCTGGAGCTGATGCCCTGAGGCCAGTGTACAGCCCCCCGACCCCACCCCACCAGGGACGATCATCTGGCTCCTGGAAAGCTTCCCAGAGAACTGACCTTGGCTGAGCCAGTGCTGCTGGCCTTGAGCACCTCAGTAGTTGAGTTGTCTTTCCTAACCTTGTGTTTCTGCATCTGCTCACCGGACACCATGGAGGTAGAAAGTCCTTCTTTCCATGAGTCTGTGTCCTTATAGAAATGGCCCTTCCGAGCACAGCGGTTCAGGCCAGAGGAAGGCAGCCGTGTTCTACCCCAGGCCCTGGAGGAGCACCGGGCACCTCCAGGGTGGCACAGTCCTGCACTAGGCATGACGCTGCGTGGACTTCTGGGCTTGTTACGCTTTAGAAACAGGCCATTTTAGACGCACCACCAACCTGGATCCAGATAAAGCATGTACTCTGGCTGGCCCTCCGTGTCGTCCAGTTGGTCACAGTTCTGAGCCCCACTCCCTGCCTCACAGATCTAGCTCCTGTTGTTTTCTTCTGGCTTTTTTATATTACCTGTGTCAAAGATCAAACTTGGGTTTGTAGCAAATACTATTGAAACTGTAGCTTTTAATCCATTTGATACATTTTATTAAGGAATAACCTAAATATTACTTTAAAATTTGTCCTGCCACCTTCTTGAATGTATTCACTGTTCAAAGTTATTTTGAATATTTTTGTTTACTGAAGAAGTGAATTTTCTAAGGTTTTCTAAATACTGATTAAATGCAGCTTTTACTGAATGCTCATGTGCAGAAGCAGGCTGTCCTTCAGTGTGATGTGTGCAAGTTACCTTCATACATGTTAATGTTTCCTTAGCATTGTAATGTCACAGAAATTATAAAGAATTCAAAATAATTTTTGTTTGCATGTGCATTGGGGTGGGTTTCCTCACAGAATTTCCAGAACAAAAATTGTTTGCTGCCCTGTTGATTAAATGTGTTGTGCAGCTGGAACTCATCCAGACTATCGACAACATCGTGTTCTTCCCCGCCACAAGTAGGAAGGAGGACGCAGAAAACTTAGCCGCGGCGCAGGTGAGTGGGTGTGGGGGTCAGCTCTGCCATCTGGGCTTCAGAGCAGAGGCCAAGCTAGAGGGGCCGTTTGGGGGACCATCGCCCGCCCCATGGATGTCAATCCAAACCATGGGACTGAGGACACGGCCAAGGTTGTGAGTGTGGACACAGTGGGGAAGGGGGTCAGGAAGCGAGCCTGGGGCCTTGTGGTTGAGAGCTCATGATGAAGCAGTGGGTGAAGAGCTTGGGAGCAAGAACCAGGGAGGCAGGAGGATCCACGAGCCAGTGCTGCCTTGCAGCTCCATGAGGAAGCTGTGCTGAGAAGGCTGTGGTCACCTATACTAGGGCAAGTGATCCTTCGTCCACTGCGGAGTAGGGGGTTTGCCAGCTAGTTACTAAAGGGGTGAGGAGTGGGTTACGCACAAGGATATTTATGATTACAGTCCACAGCCTCACACTGGTTACCAGAAATGAGGACCTCAGTAGGGCAGGGACCATGAAGGGGGCGGAGGCTGAGGGTCTCCTGGGGCAGAGCTCCGGGGTCAAGAGCTGTGGGCAGGGAGCCATAGACATCGGGAGTGGTGCTCAGTGAGAAGGGTGCAAGGAATGAAGATTCTGGAGATTTCACAAGAGAAGGTGGTCTTTTCCTGTTGAGACAGATTAAGTTCTATGGCCTGTTCATAGAAGTGGTCTTTGGTTCTAACTTGACTGTGGGTACCTGTGCTGTGGTGGTTTGTTTTCCAAAGAGAGACGCTGTGGACTTTGATGTTCGAGTGGACACTCAAGACCAAGGAATGTATCGCTTTTTAACATCACAACAACTCTTCAAGCTACTGGACTGCTTGTTAGAGTCGCACAGATTTGCAAAAGCTTTCAACTCCAACAACGAACAGAGGACGGCTCTGTGGAAGGCGGGTAAGCCGTGCTGTGCGGGCCGCACCCTCAGCAGGCGTGCAGCGGGGTCACACGAGGGGACTCACAGCGCGAATGTTGATTCCTCACCAGCGGTCGGCGAACACTCCATCAATGGGTCTTTCTCCAGTCTAGAAATTGCCGAATAACCGCCTGGGTGGATGAGTCTCCCTGTGTTTAATCACACTGTTAATTGACTGGCTTTCACATTGTTTTTCACCTTCTGTGCTCAGCCTGGGCCTTGCTATCAATACCATCTGCTTACTGGAGCTGAGAAAAAGTGGGAGGGTCCCAGGCATGAAGGCATCTGTATTGAGTGCCTGCTCCCCAGGGCGTGGCCAGAACATAAGTCAGGGTTTTGAAGTGGGAGAGAAATTTTTTTGAACAAGTTGGAAAATTTAAGAAGCAAGCTTTTTAACAATTTTACTGACAGTGTTATTTTTTGAAGAAATAGTTACTTGGGGCCTATTAGGTGCAGAACTGTGCTGAGAGACTGAAGAATGTGCAGAAAAAAAGAAGGAAGCTGCTGTTCCTTGGACAGCAAAGTCCTCTGACAGAGTGCTGGATGCTGTACACTTAGGAATTTTATTTCATCCATGGTCTCTTTACCACCTCATTAAACCCACCCAGGCTCTGTTCATTCTCTCCCTTCTTGTACAGCCTCGCTTCTGTAAATAGATGGTACTTAAATTTTTCCCATTTATTCAACCCAAGTTGTGGCCACTGTTCAGCTGAGACAGTTCCTGCCAAGGGCACTGGGCCCCTCACTTCCCTGGGCCCTGCAGGCTGCTGACCTTTGACCATTCTGGTTCCACACAAGCTGTGCACCTTCACTAGCTGCCCTTCCTCCTGTTAACTAAGACTTCCCATCTGCAGGCTTCAAGGGCAAGTCCAAGCCCAACCTTCTGAAGCAGGAGACCAGCAGCCTGGCCTGCGGGCTGCGCATCCTCTTCCGGATGTACACAGACGAGAGCCGGGCCAGCGCCTGGGAGGAGGTCCAGCAGAGGCTCCTAAAGTAAGACTCGGGGCTTCGGCCCATGCACTGCTCAGTACAGAGGGCGGAGGGCCGCGCCCCGCCCGGGGACTCCACAGCTGGGCAGATGACTTGGGGCCTGCGGAAGAGATTGTAAAAGCTAACACAGTCTTAAAGACATTTGTGCTTCCACAGAGTTGTTGAGATGTAAGCAAATGGTCTATTTTTGCTGTTACAGGACAAAGGAGGAAGTTCTAGGTCTTAATTTTTAGGCTCTTTTTCATGTCATAGATAGAAATGGATCAGTTTCTAAAAACAAATCTGAAAGTGAAAAATATCCCTGCTGACATTTAGTTTGAAAAAGTATGTGGAGTTTCTGTTGGTGTTTTAGTTTTGTTTGCATTCCATTTTTACTCCTTAAACTTAAGATTTTGTCCTTTCAGAAAGAATACAGTCTTTTACCTTCTATTTTTTTGTTTACTTAAGGGAATAGATGTTCTCAGAAACCAACTAATTTCACTTTAGAACTTCTGGCAGTCACCTGGGCCGTTTCCCCAGGTCTTGATGAGACTGTTAAGGCCCCAAAGCATCGAGGCCCCGGCGTGGGAGGGGAAGGGCCACCCCGGGGGTCAGCCGCAGTCTTGACACCAAGCCTGTGCTTGTGCTCCTCCACAGCGCTTTAGCATATAAGAAAACCTTCAAAAGGAAGAAAATGGGGGCTTCTTGACAGGCTGTAGTTGACCTTAGTTACCGTTCCTCCTGGTCTCTGTTGTTCCTGCTCGGTGACTGTCAGGCCAGCAGGTGCACCAGCAGCAAGCAAGATGGGGAACCTTTTCCATTTCAGTGTCTGCAGCGAAGCACTCAGTTACTTTCTTACTCTGACGTCAGAAAGTCATCGGGAAGCCTGGACTAACTTACTGCTCTTATTTCTGACTAAAGTCCTGAAGATCAGCGATAACAGGGTGAGTACCAGGCACCTTGTCTACCAGCATCCCCAGCCTGAGGGGCACATGCCCGAGTGGGAGGCAGGGGTGCAGGGCCTCCCCACCTCACTCTGTTCTCTAGTGCGTGATCCTGTAGGGCCGCACTAGGGGAGGAATTGGAATCCGTTAGGACACCGACATGCTGCCCAGGTTCCCCCACCCGCCCCCTGGAGTCTCTCCTGTCGCATCCAAGACAGCTGCCAGGCATGGCCCCGACCATGGTTGCGTCTGGGCAGCAGGCTCCCGTTGTTCCTCTGGGAGAGGGACTGATTCTGTGGGAATGGGCAGTAAACTCATTTGAGAATTTTAACCAGTAGAAAACAAAGATCAGATGTATAATGTGTAGCTATATATATACCATTTAGACTTTTCAGAAATACACATTTTACTTGTTAAAAAATGTAGAAGTCAGAATTTCATCTGTATTTGTAGGAGAAATTTCACTTATCTAAATATGTTTGTAAATAAATAAACCTGAATTTTTTCCATTGAAAAAAAAATGTAGCAACATACAGCCCATATAAATGTGATCCCTAAATAGGTTTAAAAATGCCTAGTCTGGTGGCTGACACTTTGGGCCCCACAGATGCCATGTAATGCCGCTCTGTGCCCATGTGTGTGCCCCTCTGACCTGAGCCAGGTAGAGCCCAGAGAAGTACCTTCCAGCATCCAGCAGCCAAGTGGATGAGGAGGACTTCCAGTCCGTCCGCCTTGTCCCACAGGTTGCCTTCTTACCAGTGTCACACCGCTCCCTCACACCTTAGAAGGTGGAGGAACAGACAAGGAGAGAAAACCGGCAGACAGCTAGTATTCAGAGATTGAACTACAACAAAAATACAAAGTGTATCAGTGGAACTATAAATAATAGAATGTATGGAGCCCTCATATTTTATATTGCAATATTAGAATTTGAAGTTTTAGAGACAAGTCTATTTACCAGACAGAATAGTTTCAGTAACCCATAGCCTATAAAAACTGTGATTCTTGCTTGGCTTCTTTCTTTTGCTTATTACCCAAGGCAAAACAATGATAAATAATAAATGTCATAAGTTTGTCAAGGAAATGTAATGAAAAATGTTTTCCAAAATAAGGATGGATAAGTAAGTGAATCATATGCATACTAAGTTCTGAATACATCTCAGTCTTTCAGTTGCATGATCAGTAATCACTGCTTTATGCAGACGTGTCTCCTGTCTTCACTCTCAGGGCCCTGTCTCCGAGTGGGTTCCTTCTAAAGGCACTTTGAGGTTCTGTGGTTTGCAATGAGAGCATTACTAACAGAATTCATTTCCCCCCAGTTTAAAGCTCATGCATCATTCTACTACCCTCTCTTATGTGAAATTATGCAATTTGACTTGATTCCTGAACTTCGTGCTGTTCTTAGAAGATTTTTTCTGAGAATTGGAGTAGTTTTTCAGATATCTCAACCACCTGAACAGGAACTTGGAATAAACAAGCAATGATGGGAACTTCATATTTTTCTGTTGGCGTTTACATCCCTCCGTTCTTTAAAAGGACTCCGGAGCTGAGGTTTCCTACCTGAAAAAATGGTTTCTCTGGATTGCTGTGTCTAAGGGTTACTTCTAAGAAGCTTAGAATTTCAGTTCGAACCTGCAGTGCTCCCGTCCGTCCCTTTGGTAACCTGGTGGATTCTGTTTGTCGTGTTGGGCTCACAAGCAAAAAAGCTGTTCCCACAGCGTCAGCTTGTATGCTCACAAGCCCTCAGTGGCAGGGAGAGCCCTACACATTTCTGGCAGGTATGGAAGTGAAACTTACCCAAAGAACTCTAGATGTAAAGATTTGAACTTCTGCAAGAAGTACAACTCAGGAGAGCTGTATTTTGAAGGATAAAATGTTTATAATTGGGGGTTGGGGGGAGAAGAAGAAATTATTGTTCATGGTAAAAGTTATTTAGCAACTATGGTATTCTTATTCTGAAGATTTTTGCACACTCAGGCTATCTGAGATACTGGTAATGATCCTTCTGTGAAAAATGTACAGAGATGCAGGTCTGTAATATAAAAATCTTAAGACATTATAGAGTTCTTCCTGCACTGTTTTATTTCTTTATTTTCTTATTCATTTGCTAAATACCTATAATATTTTGTCAAATGCACTAAACATTTGGGTTGAACTTCTTGTCCTTTTTATTTTGTGGGGATTTGGTTTTGCCCTTTTTACAGAGTGGTTATTTTGAGGGTTTAACATGCACAGAAGCTGTTGTGGCCGACACTTGTCATGATCAACACCAACAAAGGTGGAACATACCCCTGCTGACATAACTACCTGTAATACACTTCTCTTAGGGCTTTGAAAGATGAGCCATTAAAAGAATGATCCTTCATGGACCGAAACTTGAATCACTGCAGAATGAAATCTTGGTTGCTGTCACTTCCTTTTCTTTTCTTTTGGGTGGCGGGGCTTGATGTAGATTTTACTCTATGTACAGAATTTAATGTTGAATATATTAAAATAACAAATCTGGCATGGTTTGGGGAGGTTAGATTTACTGGAAACGTATTCATACTGTGAATTGTGCTCTGATGGTTAAAAAAACAAGATTGTCAAGCATTCCGTATTAACAGTGGATGTAGAAAATTTTTTCAGATGGATAAAATGTATATGGTACAGATGTAAAGTTTTCTATGTAAAAAATTCTGTACAACTTTCTGTACAATATTGATTCTCATCTGGCATATTCTAATCAGGTTATAGGTCAATAAAGTTTTTGGATTATTTCATCAGTGCAATCAAAACCTATGTCATCCACGGCCCCATGTTTCATTGACTTTTTTTTTTCTTAAAAGCCTAACTAGGGAAAGGATATTCCTATTCACAGGTCCATGTGAATCCAATGTCCTTTAGTTGTGATATTTTCTCTCCAGTTCCTGGCATTTGATCCTCCCCCATATCCTGCTTTCTCAACTATAGTTTGAGAGCTATTCATAGTTTAATATTTTGTGCATTTATAAACCCAGAATAGGGCAGTACTATGTGAATGAATGCTGAGAGAAAGAGAAAGTAAGTTACCTTTGGGGCAGCTTGCAGGGTGGTGGCACGTGTGTCCTGAGTGCAGTTGAGTGCTACAACGACCTGAAAAGGAAAGAGAGAACATGTCAAGACTATTTATTTTGATGGTTGTGTTCAAAAAACAGGAGAGCATTCAGTCTTAGCCCTCGCATCTCTCAGGTCACCAGCAGTCGCTGAACAGTGTGTGTGTGAGTGCACTAATTTGTTACCCCCAGGACCTGGCCCTGTGCAAGTGCAGCTGGATGCTGCAAGAGCCAGGAGCCCCTGTGACCATCTAGGCCTGTCTCAGGGCATGTTAAAGGACCTGGCTGTATATTATTAATATTTATGGTATAAAATCAGGACTGTTCTCCAGCAGAGGCTTTCATCTTACTTTCAGGTGAAGACCTAAGAAGAAAACTCTCTCATAAATGATTTGATTACAAAAATTAGCATGGCATTTACATGCAACTAAAATTCCAAATATCTGAGAAGTTTCCCACTTAAGGGTGTGCTTACCTGATCTTAGAAGCATACCATCAGTACCTAGGTGTGTTCTCGGCTCTCTGGTAGAATCTAAACAAGAAATATTTCCAAGGATTTGAATTAGTCTTCCCTTTTTTAAAGGCATCTCTTAGGGAGCATTTAGGAGGGCTGACCCCTCACCACAGGGTCCTCAGCCACACGGCAAGGTCCCCATCCTCGACCCTGGGTCCTCCTGCCTCTCTTCAATGTCTATGTAGAAACCTCAATTCCAGTTAAAGGAAGAAACTGACACTGGTAATAAAAATAATTTATTTTTATCAAGAAGTAGTTACATCATATAAAGAGCAAACTTAACTGCCTTCATTGGCACAAAAACAGAGGCAGAAAGATGGGACATGTAAGTGCATGGCTCACAGGAATATAATCACTAACAAATCTATCATTTATTCTTAGTCAGTAGTTATCAATGAGAAATAGCACATCTGATTCTGATTACAGAGCAACAGCTATATTTACTAAGTGAAGAAATGATTTTAAATAGTGATAATAATAGCAGATGTACATATAGCAAAGAATATTCTTACAGTACTGTTAAGATACTTGTTTTATTCACCTTATCTTACAAGCAGAATTTAAAATAATGCACATATGGTAGTTGATTCCAAGAGTTCATTACCACCCCACTTTATGGCAAAGTTGTGCAAAAATAATTCTATACAATTCTACATTATATAAATTAATAGCCATGGCTTTTTATTTATGTACATAATATAAATACATCATATACATCATCATGGAAAAAAATATACCTTATATACAGATGGAATATGAGTACCTGCCATGTACAGGCCAAAAGTAGCACACATTATTCGGGTTCAGGTTTCACACTCCTTCCACCTTCAAAGGCACTACTGGGCCCAGTACAGACCGATTTTAACCGTGTGCAGTAGACAGGCCCTGCCAGGCCAAAGTGCCTGGTTTGCCAGGACCCTGCTGCTGCTCCTGCCTCAGCTGTTCCGCCATGAATCGCTTCAGTGTTTCCGAGGTGCCTGGGCGGAGCCAGGGCTCAGTGGCTACAGAGTTTGATCCGTCGTCACCCCGGTGCCTCATGATGTCATCAGGGTCAGCCAGTGAACTCTCATCATCTAAAGGAGGCAAGAGAGACGACTCAGGTAACAGGAACAGCAGGTAGATGATGGGAACAGACCTCCTGTGTTCTAACCCATTAAGCTCTGCATTTCTCCACAGCATTGTGTTCTAAACTGTCCTGTTTTGTCCACACCCCTCCTTAGAGAGATAGGAAAGCAAACCCAGGAACAAGCCAGTCATATGGAACAAAACAGGATCAACTGAGCACGGCGACTCTCTGGTCCCAGCACCCACAGGGATTCAAGGACAGAAGATGACACCGGCTGACTAGGAAGTGTCCAGTCTTACTCCGTGTCCCCGGAAGGACGCCACACCGACCTGTTCCTGTTTTTAGCGAGGTTTTGGAAATACTCCTAACACTGCTTTAAGGAAAGAAGGTCATTTTAGGAAATCAGACAGGGATGAAACTGCTTCCATTCTTATACCTAATCTAAGAGGTTTTATTTATTCCATTAAGACATAGCTCTCATTTTTCATTCTTTTAATTAGTTATACGCAGAGCTTCTCTATTTAACTTCTCATTAGATATAATAATAGGAAAATCTGTCTTCCCTACCCTGTGATGTCATTTTTTTTTTTAATTACATCTCCTGGTCTGTGAAGCATTAGTTCAGCAAAGGGACATGTGCAATCAATGCAATGAGCAATCAGTCTACAACATACTAAAAAGCTGTTTGAAAGGACAATGTTTTAAAAAATGTTCACAAGTTGAAACTCTTCTGAAAAAGATACTTCAAATGGTTTATTTTCTCTCAATTTAAGTATATCCTTGTTCACTATTAATTCAACTTACTGGTTCTAAAAGAAACTGAGGAATAGGTAATTCTCAGTACAGATTAAAATGTCTTTTAGCCAGAAAGCAAGCATTCTTTCCCACTGTCCACATTTTTCTAGGTATGGTATGAAAAGTACTTATCAGTCTACCATGTTGTCTGGTATTTGGTAAGAAATTCCTACAGTCAGCACACATAATATCTTGATAGAGATGGTATGAGTACAGTTTTAAATTAATAACAACATTAAAGGTTGTATCTAAAATACATCTTTCAAAAATCTTTAAAAAATAGCTATTAGAAAATTATTGTATGTACTCTAACAGAATAAGGTGAATTGTTCAAATAGACCACTCTGCTATTTGCTAAAGCTAATAATAGGGCTTATTACTATATTATCATCCTATTATCCTCATGACTGATAGCAGTGCCATAAAGAAGGTGGCCAAGAGCTGGCAGAGGAGCTCATGAGTTGCCTTAGGAAGTGTCCTGCCTGCCTGTGCTCAGTGATCAAGCTTTTAACCTGCTGTTCACCAAAGATGTGAGATACAGCAATGCCTTGCATGATAAAAAAAACTACTTTGACATTTAAAAAGAAAATACTATCCTGAAGCTTTTTTGCTTCATCCACATACAGAAAGCCAAGTAAAAAGGTTAAAAAAAATTTTCTTTGTACTACTACAAATTTATAAAAGATGTGTTATATAAAGAACCAAGGTTTTAAAGTTGACTTCTGATAATCTGTCACTTCAGTCCAGACATCCTGGAATGCAAAGTCAAGTGAGCCTTAGGAAGCATCACTACGAACAAAGCTAGTGGAGGTGATGGAATTCCAGTTGAGCTATTTCAGATCCTAAAAGATGATGCTGTGAAAGTGCTGCACTCAGTATGCCAGCAAATTTGGAAAACTCAGCAGTGGCCACAGGACTGGAAAAGGTCAGTGTTCATTCCAACCCAAAGAAGGTCAATGCCAAAGAATGTTCAAACTACGCACAACTGCACTCATCTCACATGCTAGTTAAGTAATGCTCAAAATTCTCCAAGCCAGGCTTCAACAGTACTTGAACCGTGAACTTCCAGATGTTCAAGCTGGATTTAGAAAAGGCAGAGGAATCAGAGATAAATTGCCAACATCTGGATCACAGAAAAGGCAAGACAATTCCAGAAAAACATTTACCTCTGCTTTATTGACTATGCCAAAGCCTTTGACTGTGTAGATCACAACCAACCATGGAAAATTCTTGGAGAGATGGGAATACCAGACCACCTGTCCTGCCTCCTGAGAAATGTGTATGCAAGTCAAGAAGCAACAGTTAGAATTGGATATGGAACAACAGACCAGTTCCAAATCGGGAAAGGAGTACATCAAGGCTGTATATTGTCACCCTGCTTATTTGACTTATATTCAGAGTACATCATGTGAAATGTTAGGCTGGATGAAGCACAAGCTGGAATCAAGACTGCCTGAAGAAATGTCAATAACTTCAGATATACAGATGACACCACCCTCATGGCAGAAAGCAAAGGGGAACTCAAGAGCCACTTGATGAAAGTAATGGAGAGTGAAAAAGCTGGCTTAAAACATAACATTGAAAAAGCGAAGATGATGGCATCCAGTACCATCGTTTCATGGCAAATAGATGGGGAAACAATGGAAACAGTGACAGACTTTATTTTCTTGGGCTCCAAAATCACTGCAGATGGTAACTGCAGCCATTTAAAGATGCTTGCTCCTTGGAAGAAAAGCTATGACCAACCTAGACAGCATATTAAAAAGCAGAGACATTACTTTGCCAACAAAGGTCCATCTAATCAAAGCTATGGTTTTCCCAGTAGTCATGTATGGATGTGTGAGTTGGACTCTAAAAGAAAGCTGAGTGCTGAAGAATTGATGCTTTTGAACTGCAGTGTTGGAAAAGACTCTTGAGAGTCCCTTGGACTGCAAGGAGATCTAATCAGTCCATCAGGAGATCAGTCCTGAATATTCACTGGAAGGACTGATGCTGAAGCTGAAGCTCCTGTATTTTGGCCACCTGATGTGAAGAACCGACTCCTTGGAAAAGACCCTGATGCTGGGAAAGATTGAAGGCAGGAGGAAAAGGGGACGAGAGGGTGAGATGGTTGGATGGCATCACTGACTCGATGGACATGATTTTGAGCAAGCTCCAGGAGTTGATGACAGACAGGGAAGCCTTGCGCGCTGCAAGGGTCGCAGAATCGGACATGACTGAGCAACTGAACTTCTTCTTTAGTAGGGAAGCAAGACACCAGTACAAATCAACATTTTCCCTGCTGAAAGCAAAGTCTGGATGTGTTTAACACAAAAAAACCTTATCTATTTAGGATCCACTTGAAAAGGGGTACTGTCTCTGGTAGGAAGAATCTGCTGCGAAGTTAATCCTTAGGCTGTACAACTCCAAGGATTTAGAACTCACTTCCTCTCTCAGCCATCAGTGAAAACTTCCATGAAGCAGGTCTGAGTTTTCACCAAATTTGCTGTTGGCTATTATACTTGGCCTTTTACCTGCAGTAATAGGTTTATTCTGAAGTTCATTCAGTCTTCTCATTCGTTCTTCATTTCTCATTCTAAGTTGATCAATATTTATACTGGATACAGATTTTAAAGAGACACCATCTGGTGGCACATCAAGGTGACTGTTATCCTGTAATTAAGAAAACAGAACTTCAGAAATTATCATTAACATATGTTCACAATAAACCAGTGAATCAAAACATGTTCTTAACCTTGATAAATGTATAGTGATGAACAAAATTAAATCTGTAGCACTTATATTCTAACTTGTGTTTATCCTTGCAGGCTCAGATGAAGGTAAAGCATTTGGTGATAACATATAAATGCTATCAGAGTGGATAAAGGTGGGGAATTACAAAACACAAAAGGAAAACCTGAAACATCAGGGGCTAAGAGTCAGTCCAGCTATACTAACCCAAGACAGCCTGGTCCTGGCCTAAGGGTATAGACATGGATGAGTGGAATAGAAATAAAGAGTCCAGAAATAAGTCCTTATACTTAGGGACAGAAAAACCAATAAAATTCACTAGGATTTTTCTCAACAAATGGTACCAGAATAACAATATCTACATGTAAATAACAAATTTGGACCCTTATGCCTCACACCATTTGCAAAAATTAGCTCAAAGTGCATTCACTGACCTAAATTTAAGAGCTAAAATTCTTAGAAGAAAACAGAAATAACTTTCACGATCATGGGTTAGGCAATGGTTTCTTTGATACAACAGCAAAAGCACAAGCAAAAGCAGGATTGATAAGCTATACCTCTGTCAAGATCAAGAGCTTCTGTACTTCAGTGGGCACCATCAAGAAAACATTTGTTAAGTCTAACATAGGACTTGTATCCAGAATCTATAAAAAGCTTAGAACTCAACAATGAAAAGATGACCCGATTAGAAAATAGGCAAAGGATTTGAATAGACCTATCTCTAGAGAAGGTCTCCAAACAGCTAAGAAGCACAAGAAAGAATGCTTAGTATCATTTTGTCAGAAAAGTACAAAATCAAATCCACAATGAAATAATACTTTACACTCGCTAACAAATGTTGACCAGGGTGTAGAGAAACTGGAACCTTCACAGACTGTTCACAGGGTGGGAATGTAAAATGGAGCAGCCACTTTGGAAAACAGTCTGGTAGTTCCTCAAGATGTTATAGGATTAGAAAACATCTGTATGCTAACGTTAAAAGCTGCTATACTGATAACAGAAAAGCTGGGAACAACCCAAATGTCTATCCATTATTGAATAAACAATTGAAAAAAAATGTGGAATATCCTTATGATGAAATGTTACTTGGCAATAAAAAGGAATCAATTATATGTTTATGACTCAGAGGACCTTTGTGTCCCAGTAACCTGCTGATGGTCGTCTAGCATTTGGTGGCAGAGCCTCAGTTCAGACCCATGTCCAGCTTAATCAAGAGCATGTTCTCTTTCTTTACTGGACCACACCAGTTTAGCCATGAGTCAGCCAGACCTCTCCTTCCTAAACTTGAAAAAACAAGAGGACATTTCATACATACGAAGTCCAATCCTTTCAGTTTGTTCCTCCTGCGCTCTCTGGCGGAGGGCAGCGGAGACAGCGGCAGGAAGCCCCCATCCTCAATGGCAGGGTACGTCTCACCATGTGCACCTAGAGAACGTGGGGGGAAGCTGTGAACATCCACCTTTCACGTATCCATTTAGAGCTAACCCAAGACTGTCTTTTAATAGTTCTATTGTTATTATTTACATATGATAAAATCTGCCCACAATAAACATACAGTGATTTTTAAAGAACTGCACAATCACTATACTCTAGTTTTAGAAATTTTGATCACCTCAAGAAAGCTCACTTGTGCTGACAAAATCACTCCACCACTTCCACCTGCCAAGCCCATGTGAACACTGATCTGCCTTCAGTCTCCAGATGTGTACTGTTCCTAAGATTCCATATGGAATTCTACAATGTAATATTTTGTGGGGCTTGTTTATTTTTTGCAGAACAAAAAATAGTAAGCTGAAGACATGATGATACTTCATCCCTAAATGCTTTAGCAGACGCCATCTAAGAACAAGGGCCACAGACTGTACAGCCACAATCTCAGTACCACATTCAGGAAATGTAACATTGATACAATACTATCGTGTAATGTATAATTGATACTCAAATTTCTGAAATTATAGTTTTTTTAAAAGCAGCAATAACTATATTCTATTGAATGATAAATGGGCTTTTCTAAAACTCCAAAAATAAAGTTTTCTGACTTCTTTATTATACCCCACCAGTAACTCACCTGCTCTTTTTTTTTTAAACGCTTTGTTTACAAGTTTTTAAGGTCAGTAAAACTGAGTGGAAGGCACAGAGAATTCCTATTAAACCCCCTGCCACCACATATTCAAAGCTTACCCATCTATCAACAGCCCCCACAAAATGGTACATTTGTTAAAACCAATGAACCTACAATGACACATCATTTTCGCTGAAAGTGCATAATTAGGGTTCATTCCTGGGGTTGTACACCCTACGGCTTTTAACATATCCACCATCCCAGTATCATACAGGATAGCTCCACCACCCTAAAATCCTCTATGTCTCACCTATTCACTCCTCCCCCTGCTGTAACCTTGTGGCAAGCACTGATTTTTTTTTAACTATCTCCATAGTTTTACCTTTTCCAGAAAGTCATAGTTAAAACCATACAATATGTAGATGATTCAGATTGACTCCTTTCCCTTACAAACATTCAAGGTTCCTCCATTTCTCTTCCTGGCTTTGTAGCTCAATGCTTTTTAGCACCGAATAATACTGCATTGTCCAGATCTATCACTGTATATCCATTCATCTACTTAGAGATAACTTGGTTGCTTCCAGATCTTAGCAATTATGGATAAAACTGCTAAAAACATCTGTGTGCAGGTTTCTGTGTGAACATAAGTCTCAACTCCTTTGGGTAAATACCAAGGAGTGTGAATGCTGGATCATGTGGTAAGGGTATGTTTACTTTTGTAAGAAACCACCAAACCCTCTTCCAAAGTGATGGTACTGATTTCCATTCCCACCAGCAATGAGTTAGCATACCTCTGGCTCCATATTCTGCCAGCGCTTGGCAGATTATGTGTCCGTGTTCCAAATCTGGGTCATTCCATAGGTATGTGGTGGTGTCTCGTGTTGATCTGAGTTTCTCTGATGACACGTGACCTGTGTTTCCCTAATGACAATGATGTACATGGGGCACCTTTTCATATGCTTACTTGCCATCCTCTGTCTGTGGTGAAGTGTCTGGATCTTTTGCCCATCTTTTAACAGGGCTGTTCTCTTAACTGTTTTAAGAGTTCCTGGTGTACTTGGGATAGGAGTCCTTTATTAGACATGCTTTCCACAAATATTTTCTCCCTGTCTCTGGGCTTATTTTCTTGCCATTTGCAGGTCACTGAAGTTTAATTTTAACGAGGTCCAAACAAAGAGTGGGCTTCCCTCATAGCTCAGTCGTAAGAGTCTGCCTGCAGTGCAGGAGACCTAGGTTCGATTCCTGGGTCAGGAGCATCCCTCCAGTGTTCTTGCCTGGAGAATCCCATGGACAGAGGAGCCCGATGGACTAGAGTTCATGGGGTCCCAAGAGTCGGACATGATTGAACAATTAAGCACAGCACAAAGAGTAAAGTACTGATTTTTTAGGTATGGAGAAAAACACCTGAATATAAATAATGCTAAATATTTAAACAAATAGATTGCTAAAATAAACATACTCACCAATAAAAGCACTATCAGATTCTAATAATGAGTTTGTCAAGAAATCATCAGTGTCATCTCTGGGCTAAAAGGAACATCATATATTAATGACTATTTTTATTAGTCCTGTGTAGAAAAACAACAGATCTGTACAAAGAGGCACAAGTCTCCACACTCCCCAAAACTAGCAAAAGTGCATGGGGAGAAGTAGGACTGGCTGGTTCCCTCTTCCATCACATTCCAATGCCTAGAAATCACAGGAAAAGACCTTTTATTATTAAGAGTTACATTACCACTGATAAAAATATAATGGAGTGTGAAGCAATGAACCAAATTAAACATTTAAAGTCTTTACATCATTGTCAAGATTTATCTATTCTCTCAATAAATCTTGAGTGCACTTAGTATTTCCTGCATGTGAGATACTGGAGATAGAGCAGTAGGAGTTTCTGCGATGGAGTGGGTCACGCTCCCGTGGGGAGAGGCGTGCCCTCAGATAACGACAGCCCCGTGGGACGGCATGTGTCCCAAAAACACAGCACGATAGACGGGGATGTAAGAGTAGGGCAAGTAATGCTAGGGTCGGGCTTGTAATGAGCTCTCAAATTAGAGGCAGGAAATTTACATCTAGGGTTTACAACAGAGAATGTCATCTTACATACTGGAAGAAATCTAAACTCACCCCACACCCCTCCCTGCACGTCCCTACCAGATTTCTAGGATGTGCTAGAACACTCCAGTGAAGAGCTGTCCACTAATCTCTAAAGGAAGTACACGCACTGAGGCATAGTACTGGTTACCAGAAAGTTCTTATCTTTCACTGAGTTCTTCCATATACTGAATTCTTTCAGTATATGAACTGAATTCTTTCGCCTTTAACACCCAAGGACTCTACTTCTGCCTTCAAGAACGACAGTAATGGTAAGAGCTGCTCAAACTACCAAATGGTCTGAACCAGCAGCTGTCCTTAACACTGTGCATACACTGTCCAGCCTCTCTTCTGTCTCACCGTCCTTGCCACACTGGAAAGAGTGACCACCTCAGCCCAACCTTCACGACAATCTTGAGTCTCCATATAGTCCGGTCTCTAGGAAGGTGAGCCCCAAGTCTATTGGCTTTTCTTTTGTGACGGCCTTGTTGAGCTGTCGGCTCATGCTCAGTTTCTACGCAGCAAAACACGGGGTTACTAATCAGCATTTAACTAAAACCCCAGTGGTTAAATTCCAGTGCCTTTTCACTGAGAAATGTGCTGCCATATACAGCATGTTCAGAAAAGATGTCCATGCATCTCCACTAATGTGGGACAGGGAAGGGCTCTGGGTTCAGCCTGTGTCCAGACGTGGACTTTACTGCTCACTGGCTATGTGATCGTGGCCTGAGCCTCCTCTTAAGTAAAATGGGGGTAGGCAGACCTTGTTGTGAACTTCAGAGCAAATACACACCAAGCACCTCGCAGGTAGTACGGGCATGGATTTGCTGCTGTGAGACTGTTACCACCACTATCAGTTCAAAACCAGCACCAACAGTAACACTGAGCAAGTAGCAGCCTAGCTGAGCCTTTTTTTAAAATCTGAAAATGGAGATAATACTACCTGTATTATTAGTGTGGGGAAGATTAAATTTATTTCCAACCTCAATCTTTCCCCAAACTTTTCCTCTTAGCCATCTATTCACTACCTCCCAACTGTCTGTGTAGTGAGCATCTTAGACCTACCAACTAAATATTTTCTAATTTCTCCTTGTTTCTTGGCTTCCCTTGTGGCTCAGCTGGTAAAGAATCTGCCTGCAATGCAGGAGAACTGGGTTCAATCCCTGGCTTGGGAATATCCCCTGGAGAAAGAAAAAGCTACTCACTCCAGTATTCTGACCTGGAGAATTCCATGGACTCTACAGTCCACGGGGTCACAGAGAGTCGGACACAACTGAGTAAAAGTAATCCCTCGGAGGGCAAAGATTTTTGTTCACTCCTGTGCCCCCAGGCACATACAGTATTATCTGGTTCATAGTAAGTGTTCCACAAATATCTGCTGAACAAAAATGGCTCGTCCCCCCCACCTTCAGTCTTCGCACAGATGTCCCTTTCTCAGGATAAGTTATGCCTTTTACAGGTCTCACCACTGCATGTATTACAGACTTTTACTCCCACCACTACTGCCTGCACTAAAACTGATCACATTCATTATGGAACAGGCCACACAAGGGTTTTTAATGTTTTATATCATTTAATCCTCACAATAGCCTTTGAGCCATTTTTTTAATCCAGTTAATAATAAACATCTATGGAGAAATCACTACATGCTAGGCCTATTCTTATGTGTTTGCGGATATTAATTGATTTTAATCATAGCCACCCTCAGAGATAAGTACTATCATCCCATTTTACAGACTAGGAAACTGAGGCAAAGAAAGATTAAATAAAAGATTAAGTACCTTGCCTAAAGTCACAGAGCTAAAAACATACTAACTTGAACAGCCTAGCTCTAGAGTCCTATTCTTGGTCATTACAGTAAGCTTTCTCTACGTTATGAGACTTTACCTACCCAAAACACTGATGGGACAAGATTTCAATTCTTTCTTAACTCAGTATTTCTGAAGAATTCAAAATTGGAATACTCTCTTATCATGTTCCTAAAATCTTCTACCACTCAAAAACTAGCTTGAGAAACCATAACTGATTTCTTACCATTCTGTGGTCTCGTGCTTTAGTGCTTGGGACAGCATCCAAGTCAGCTGTAGTCATGAGGGGTAAAAACGAGATAAAAGGTTAGAAAGTACTTCACAGATAAATTTTAGAGCATCTTTTGTAGTTAATCCCTTACTGGAAATTACTTTTCAATGATCATACTTCAGAATATTTTAAAGATACTACTTGTTTATCAATAAATATAACCCAGCACCCAATTCATTCCAGTTACATAAAATTCTTCCATTCACATTTAATAAATAAAAATCACTGTGAATTTAAAACTGACGCCTATAGAAACATAACCATCTCCTCTCATATTTCTGCAATCTGTGTAGAAAATTGTTGAGAAGAGTTAACAACTCCCTTATGTGGCACTGAAGGAAATGAATTAACTCCAAGCGCCTGGTTTCAGGGGTGAAGATTTTTGGATCAGCTATCCCAAAGGCCTCTCTGATTTGACCAGGGTTTGATGTGTTCCTCTGAATAGCTTATTTTATCCTTGTAGCTACTGCCTTTGGGAATAAATAGACTACTGATGGTAGCCTGTATTCCTTCTTAAAATATTTTATAGCCATGTTTTTGATTGTTGTGAGTTACATCATATTCTTATGAATTAAGTCATCACAGTGTTTGGTAGAAACTGGGGTGGTTGCCACAGCGGGTGTACAGCCTCAGTGCCTGGACCCACATAGGCTGAAATTAGCCCATAGTAGTCCCCAAGTTGCCAAGATCACGCCAGATCAGATCATCAGCTAGGTCACCTCAGGGAAAGTTCCACCAAAGTGGGTGTAACGACTGAAGACTGTACTTGCTTCTCTCCTCTCTCCTAATAATATGCCTACTATTTATCATGGACTCTGGGTTACTCTGCTGTCAGAGGGTGATCAATAAGACCACTGTTAAAAGTTCTGTACAGACGGAGGGAGGACGTCCCCTATCCCCTTCACTGAAGTCTTGCCCTGTGATCTGGGCCTGACGTGGTACACAACTTACTCCTGTGACCCTCTCGTGTGTTCAAAACAGGCTCCCCAGATTCTGCTGGTCAGACAAGCCTGCTAAGTAGGGTTTTAAATTTTCCTAAAAATAACTGGTAGGACCGTCTCCATCTATTCTTGTTACTTAACTGCTGTATTTTTATGACTCCTTTTCCATGGCTGCACTCAATGGCCTGAAGGCCGGCAAAGCTGGTGAGATATTGCGAGGGTCATGCAGGGCCCATCCATGTTCTACGAGGCCACTGGCACCACTCCACCCCTGGGTGCCCACCCCACCTCCAGTTACACACTCCCAAGGGACCCTAGATTTCTCCTTTGCAACATTCATCACACTTACTTAGCATCTAACCTCTCCAGTAGAATATAAATTTCTTGAGAGCAGCAGCATATTTCATTCATCCCCATACTCCCTGGATATGGGGCAGTACCCACGCTCATAGTAGGCACTGAGTACGTTATCTGCTGATTAGCTAATTACACAGAGATATAGCCCAGTATGGGGCTTACTTATAAAGATTTTATGCTCTATCAAAACCCACAGACACACATGGTAGCAATGTCCCCCAGGACACTGGTGTGTATGCCAGGCATTCTTTCCCCTGGTGCAGATGTCTCCTGGCCTCGTCAAGGTACTCAACCCTTCTGGCTACAGTGAATGGATGGACTCCGCTCATGCATGAACAGCCAATCACGGCCCTCTCTGGGACTTACTCTTTTCTGGGACTACAGACCAAAGGGGCATGTGAGCGTGAGGCTGCCTGCCTTGGAGATGGTAGAAATATTAGAGGTGGAGAAAGAAAGCCGACAGAAAAACAACCCACTGAAACGATCTGAAATAGCAATGATTATTTTTTGCCTTTAGCACCTTCCTGCATTTTTAGTTTATTCAGTCTCTTCTGCTGCTCTCTTAGCAAGGCTTGCTGTTCTATCTCCAAGGTGTCATTATCTCTTGGATCATCCGGGTACACAGATTTCGGATCAGCTCGTGTTTCTGAATCTGGTACAAAAATAAGTTATGTAACCAATTTAAATCTTGTTTCCAAATGAGATTTTATAAAACTTCACTATAGATAACATATGAAATAACCTAAATTCAAAATCAAGGAACAATATAAATAATGAGACATCAGCAAAGTCAAAGCACATCATCATACAACTAATGAACATGAAATTAATATTCTTTAAATAAATACATTTTCACAAACTCAACATTATAAGGGAGCTCCAGAACAAGCAGCACCTTACTGCCACATACTCCATCCCAACTCCCCACTTCCCCGAGGAGCTACCCAGAGCCTGCAACCATGTGCAGGAGCATCTAAGCCGTCAGTCAGATGGCTGTGACTCTGGCAGCCACCAGACACTGAATCAGAGCTGAGCCCTCAAATATACTGGAAAAACGGAAACATAATGTTACTGGCCAATTAATATTTGTAAATATCATGCCAAAAAACAAAAACAAGGTAAAAATATAGGCCAGCTGGAGCTTTAAGAGGGACATCATATCTGGAGGAAATGACAGTCTAAGAATTCACCTATGGCACAAGTTCAAGAATATCAACTGATCAGAATGAAAATGTTAAACCTTACTTTCTAAATCTTGAGAATAAATATATAGTTCACACATTTAAAAATCTTTTGACCCATAGTATAATCAAGCAGAATCCCATGCCCCACCCCCTACCCTCTTGTTTATAGAAAGGCTGAAATCTCCCAGGCCTCTGTGAGTTACCAAAAAGCAGGCTCAAGCAGCTAATGATTAGGACAACAGAGTTCCAGATTTGTGTCTGCTGCAATTCCTGACTTGTTCTACAGATACTCTTAACTCTCACTAGAGGGAAAGTGCATGATGACCAGACTGCAGCCACAACATAAACTGCTCCATCTTGAGCAGTACTGAATTTATGGCTAGGACAAGTTCCAAGAACTGGCCTCAAGAGAATGGGGTTAACACTTTTGCTCATACTAACTGATATCTTTGTGGGCATCAAAATAGTTGTAGCTTGTTCTGCCCATAAATGTAAATGGGCAACTATGACTGCCAGCAGAGAGATGCTACAGAGCATGTCAACATCTCTAATACAGCATCTTGTGTCAGCATGAAGTTACAGAAAAGGGACCTTCACACGTGATTCCACAGAAATGGAAAGATGTTCTGACAAGTGGGGGTTTGTAAGCAGCTTTTGGCAGGAAAGAATTCTCTGCAGGCAGTCCCTTTGTCTTGTCACTAACCTTAAACCAGGCACCCCAAGCTCTACTTACCTCAAGCCCTAGCACACCTTTCAAATCTTTTGATCATGCAATACCCTGCCTAATTTGTTGACTCTTTCCATATATCAAAGTAGAAATGAAGAACAGGTGATTAACAGATGACCATCTCTCTTTCCTAGCTTCCCCTTCAGTAATCTCGTACACAAACCGTGTGAATCAGATAGCATCTGAAGAAAGATCAGGGGGAGTCCACAAGCCTGCATGCAATGGGGGAGGGCGCAGACTCTGACCCCATCTCACTGATTAACTGAGATCACTTCCCTTCTTCCATTGAAGAAGTTTCATGGTCCATCAGAATCTGTGGAGATGGTTTTGAGGGGGACACAGTCTACCATCTCCCTAGACTGTCAGTGTTCTGGTTGACAACAACTTTCCTTCCTACCAACTTTTACAAGTATTGACTTTTTAAAGCAACAAGCAGCCAGCCAGAACTTATTCCATAACAACAGTGGAAAATGGGAACATGCTGAATATCTAAGAATTAGAAAAAGATTAAGAGCAAAGTTAACAGAAGAGGCTCTGGACACATGGACGTGGCTTCAGCTGACTTCCCCACTTCCAGACTGTTTCCTCTCCGTAAAAACAAGAGACATTAACAACACGTCATATGATGAATGAGAACTAGTTGTGGTAACAGGGAAATGAATGCCTCAATTTTATGGTTTAAGCCTTTTTGTTTTCAAGATCTCCTTATCCTTCTTAAAAAGTTAAGAACCCCCAAAGAGCTTTTATTCACCACTGTCCCACACATCACATTAGAAATTAAAACTAAGAAACTTTTAAAACATGAAAATACAAAAACACATTCGATTAGCTTCAGAGCAATGAAGTTATCACATGTCATAAAACTTCTCAAAAACCTGTACACACAGGAAAAAATAAAAATTAAAAGGACAAATAATGTCTTAGTTTATAATAAACATAGTTTAGACTTCAAAAAGTCCGCTGACCAAATTCTAAGACATACTGGATTAATATAACACCTGGCATATAATAAGCAATCAATAAATGATAGCATAAAAACATAACTATGGTTTATGTAATTGATGACATGTATATCTAAGTGGAAAATAAAACTGAGTAACATAATCACATCTAGCTTTTATCTTTCTCATTTTAATTAAGCTGAGAAAGACTAGTAAATATACCAAATATCAACTGTTTTTATATTTAGGTGATTTGAGTAAAAAGATGTTTCCCTCTCTTTGTAGATTTTCAAAACTTCTAAAATAGGTACTACTTTTAAAATGAGAAACAGAAGTAAACTCATCTGGCATAGGTTACATGACCACCATCCGGCAGCCTGCGTCCGCTGCCCCGCAGACTGCTCTGCAGTGCTCCTGAATCCCTCACACTCCAGTCCCCAGGCCTTTGTGACCCGGCAGCCTGCGTCCGCTGCCCCGCAGACTGCTCTGCAGTGCTCCTGAACGGCCCCTCCACACTCCAGTCCCCAGGCCTTTGTGACCCGGCAAGCCAACCTCCCGAAGGAGCCTTCTCTCCTCCTCCTAAGCGGCTGCATCGCACTGTTTACTCCCTTCCTTCAACAGCCCTTCCTGTCCTCTGCTGCTCAGCGACTCTGCCCTCTTCAGCGGCCCTTCCCCCCTCCCCTACACTACGAGCCTCTTACTTCTCCAACACCTTTCACATCAGCATCCTAACAAGCTCCTCCAGGACCCTGCGATCCCCCTTCCCAGCCATGCTTCTTCCAAGGTTCTTATGCTTATTGCCTCCAACACCATGCCTCCTAATTATTCAATCCTCATTCCAAAGGTTTGGCTTCCGATCCAATAATTCTGCCAAAAAGATCTATTTGAGGTCACCACTGACCCAGTCTGATGTGACTGACACCTTCCAATATTCACTTTACACAATCTTTGTCCCTGGCAGACTCTGTTCCCTCAGTTTCAGGATTGACATTCTCCTGCTTTTCCTCCAATCACTGACTTTTTCTTCATCTCTTTCCTAAGCTCATCTTGCTGTCCATCCTCCACTAAATGCCAGGTGCCACTCTTTACACTGTGTCACTGATCTAATCCACTCCTGTGGCTTTAAGAGCTGTATGCCCTGCAAAATAGCCACACCAAAGCTCTATCCACCAGACTGGTAAACTAAACAACTAGAGTAATACAGAAGAGTTTTATTCATTATCACTTAAAACAGATACCATAAATGAAACTTTACTTGAGAAAAAGGATACAAATGTCTTTAAAGACCCTTGAATATGGGTAGAACACTCAAGCTCTACCTTTTTTTTTTTTTTCATTTATTTATATTAGTTGGAGGCTAATTACTTTACAATATTGTAGTGGTTTTTGCCATACATTGATATGAATCAGCCATGGATTTACATGTGTTCCCCATCCTGAACCCCCCTTCCACCTCCCTCCCCATCCCATCCCTCTGGGTCATCCTAGTGCACCAGCCCTGAGCACTTGTCTCATGCATCAAACCTGGACTGGCCATTTGTTTCACATGGCTCTACCTTTAAAATAGCAGCATTCTTACCTCTGTCTTTCAGTTCCTTAAAGTCATGAATATTCTGAGAAGAAGCAGAGTCTAAGCTCTTAGGTGACGGTCTTCTGACAGGAGCTTGTAACCGATGTCTGGCCATATCAAATACATCCATGGAACTTTCTCTTTTCCTATAGATAATAAATTATGATAAAGGTGTTTTTACGGGAAGAAAATCTGAGTTGACATTTAACTCCCTATACAAGAAATGTGGCATCTTTCACTACAGTATATTATAAAAATTTATTCTAGTAGCTGTTATTTCAATTCCCTGTATTAAAATAGGTTATTTGTAATGTCACTATAATCTTTCAAAATGCTCAGAAGCAAAGTATCTTATTGGAAGAATACAATGTGTTAGCTTTACCTTAAAATGTTCACATAGTAGAAACAGTAGTCTTTGGTCAAAGAAATCAAGATTCAAAGACCAGCTCTACTACTTACTATATGTTTGACTGCATCATCTGTGCCTAACATACATGAGGAACTCAATAATATGGTGAATTAATTAACTAATAAGAGATTCTTTTTGTGAAACTATTTATAAAACTGGAATAAAGAACCAACACCAAGATGTCTCTGATCACAATACACAGTGAAAACTACACTGAAGTAAAATATATTTAACTAATTCTTGCTGAATGATGGCAATTCTAACATATATTATCTAACTTAAGTTTGCACACATAATTTACAAGGTACTTTCCAATGCATACATTTATTTATTTTTCACTAGAATCTCATGGGGTAGAAATTATTATGCAAGATTTGCAAGTGAGAAAACCGAAAAGCTGCCTGGTTTCTCTTTTTTATACTGATTTGCCAAAAAAAGAGCACATATAGTCTTCAGTTTATGAATGAAAAGAAATAAAATGTCAATAATACATTACATTTAATTGAATATGCATGTCTGGAATATGGAAAGTTGCAACAGTTAAGGCATTTATAACATCTTGAAAGTAAATACAGAAAACCAATACTGACCTATTACTTTGTAGTAGTTGACCTACTACAGAAGAATTCTTTGTTGAAAATTACCACCTTGGGTTAACATTCCACTACCTAGCCAGTCTATGTCTTGAAATTTCCTCACCTTGTTTACTTAGGCCAGAACACGCCTAGAGAATGCTGACAAAAATCTAAGTGAAGCATAATTACGCAGGTTAACATGCTACATTAAAATCCTACCATATCCTAGACTACAGTCATAAATATCAGTATAATTGAATGCATATACAAATTGATAGACACAGTAACAATAATGTTATGTTTATGACTTAGTATATGTACATATTATCTAGCTATGTCCACCAAGAGCCTGGTTTATAGACACAGCTCTCCAAGAGGAACCAGGACTCCTTAGAGAAATGGCTGATTCCAGGGCAGGGGCAAGGAATAAACAAGAGGATCCTGGAGCCTCCTGCAGCAACAGAGTAAAAAAGTGCTCAAAAAACAAAAGGATGGGTCATGTCAAAGAGACACAGGAGCCAACAGGAAAGATGTCTCAATAGCCAAAGCTGCAACAACTTAAGCAACACCACAAATAACACTGGATGATAACAAAAAGTACAAAATAAATATACATGTAACAACAGTGATATAAGTAAATGGCTGGATAACTAAACAAAGGGAGGAGAAGGGACAATCTTTCTTACAGAAGAATTCTAACAGAAGAATTCTAAATATACGTAGATAACACCCTCTCCAGGAGATGAAGCTTATTCCCAGCACCTCTCAATTCTTGCGAGTGTGCTAAACTTAGTGGTGGTTCCAGAGTGTGCTAAACTTAGTGGTTCCATCACATGCACATCTTGTACCCCCTGATACAATGTAATGAGAAGGCTACCCTGTGTTATTCTTTCCAAAACCCCTTAACCCTGGCCTAATCATGAGAAAACATCAGACAAATGTAGACTGGAGGACATTCTATAGGACAGCCAGCCAATATCTCCCTAGGCTGTCATAGTCATAAAAATACAAGGAAAGAGTGAAAAACTGTCCTGGATCAGAGGATACTAGGAGACATGACAACTAAATGCAGTGTGGTGCCCTGTACTGACTAAAACAGAAAGAAGATACTGATAGAAGAACTGGAAAAATCCATAAAGTCTGGAATTTAGATTGTGATTAATATTCCAATGTCAGCTTCTTAGTTCTGACAAACATCCTGTGAATGTATTGTTAACAATAGGGAGAACTGGGTGAGGGGTCTATAGAAACTGTTTGCAACTTTCCTATGGTCTCAAATTATGCCAAAATAAACTTTTTTTTAGATAAATACTCTTTAAAGAAAATGTGGTAGTTACCCACCTGCATTGATTTTACAAGCTACTAAAAGACTGCAACCTACAGTTTGAAGAATACTGCTTTAGAAAACTTATGAGGCTTTTTGGCAAAAATGATCAGAAGTGTTTGGTAGTCCGTAAGCTATTTTGCTGGAACATAAGTATTTCAAGAATCAATACACTGCTGAAGGAAAATATTTAAAAAAACAGTTTTAAAAAGCAATTGTCTTTGGTTATTCCATCTCTGAAGTTTTCTGCTATTATTATTTTCCCTTCAAGGACCAAGTTTCTATGCCTGATGTTTTAGAAGACCAAAAAGGGCAGGTAAGGAGATTGTTTTATAATTGTCTAGTCTATATCTATGTATGGATGTGAGAGTTGGACTATAAAGAAAGCTGAGGGCAAAAGAATTGATGCTTTTGAACTGTGGTTGGAGAAGACTCTTGAGAGTCCCTTGGACTGCAAGGAGATCCAACCAGTCCATCCTAAAAGAGATCAGTCCTGGGAGTTCATTGGAAGAACTGATGTTGAAGCTGAAACTCCAACACTTTGACCACCTGATGGAAGAGCTGACTCATTTGAAAAGACCCTGATGCTGGGAAAGATTGAGGGCAGGAGGAGAAGGGGACGACAGAGGATGAGATGGTTGGATGGCATCACCGACTCAATGGACATGGTTTTGGGTGGACTCTGGGAGCTTGTGATGAACAGGGAGGCCTGGCATGCTGCAGTTCATGGGGTTGCAAAGAGTCGGACACGACTGAGCAACTGAACTGAACTGAACTGAGTCTATGTCTTCTTCAGCTATAACTTTCCTATCTTGAAATTCCTCGTCACCTAGCTTACAAAGCAACTTCTGAACCCATCTGAGTCCTAAATTAGTCAATTATTTTTTATGCAGTGATTTCTCTGTAGTAAGGCAATCTATTCTAAAGACAGAGCTTGAAGAATGGTCTGTTCCCACTACTGATTTGTCACTGTCTAATCCTATTAAAAGGGATAAGACTCTTGGTTTGCCTTAAGAAAGTCCTACTTTTTTCTTTTTTTCTTTCTTCCTCCTATCAATACTACCACTGTCATCACCACTGCCATAAATACATTACTGGCAGTACAGAGGGACAATTAAAATGCTCAACTTAAAATATTTTGTATTTGGTTAAATCAATATTCATTAAATATCCCATATTTTCACAGTGAATAATTTCACAACTGTAATGAAACATTTTATGAAGGCAACTTTATCTACATAAAATTCAAGAATGTGAATTAAATAGCATATTAGCTAATTAAAGAAAGAGCTCTTGTGCCAAAAAAAGAAAAGAAAGAAAATATACCATAAACTACAAACACAAATAGACTAAAGAAATCACACATTATTTTGTATTAGTTGTACTGAGTCCCCTCCCTTGCTTGTTGCTTGTGAAATGTGCTCAGTCGTGTCTGACTCTTTGTGACCCCACGGACCACAGCCTGCCAGGCTCTTCTGTACGTGAGTTTCCCAGGCAAGAATACTGGAGTGGGTCACCATTTCCTACTCCAGGGGATCTTCCTGACCCAGGGATGAAACCCGTGTCTCCTGCATCTCCTGCACTGGCAGGCCAATTCTTTACCACTGCGCCGCCTAGTGAGCCCCTCCACTAGACTATAATTATTTAGCTTGTTTCTTCTGGGCAGCGGGGGGAAGCTATTTTGAATCATTACAATTTCACCAATAATCCATTAAAAACATTTTTCAAGCTTGCAAAATTCTAATAGATGTGGGTTTATGATAATTAATCCTGTTCCAAAACTGTAGAATTACTGGACAGATTCTGATTCCTGATTCTGACAGAAAAGAATACAAGAACAGACAAAAATATGGAATTCAGCACTTGCCTTATATGAACATCGTCGTCACTGTCAATGTGTAGTAACCGCCCCTGCAGACGTCGCTCTTCACTACGAAGCTGTTTTCTCATTTCTGATAATTCCATAATTACATTTTTTTTCTCCTCTGAAAATTCCCATCAGTAAGTGAAAAATAAAAGATACATAATAAAAGGTTAAACACTAAACATAACCTGACTTATAAAGCTAAAATGCTCAGTTATATTTTTATGGAAAGTTATTTTTAAGGCTTTATATACAGATGCATTATATGAACATTATTAAGACCCACAAACACACTTCTGATAATACAAGAATTTCAAACATTTAGAAACATTCCTGAGGGGAGGGAGAAAGTGCCTTCCCCTATTAAGGGGCAGCACAATGGAGTTCCTTTATGATGATGGACAGTTCTGCAACCTTGATTGTGTGGTAGTTACACAATTTACACGATAAAAATTCACAGAACTACACACACAAACACATAAATTAGTGTAAGTGAAACCAGACGCAGGTCCATAGAGCATGCCAACGCCAATTTCCTGGTTGTCATATTGCACCACTGAGGGAAGCTACAGGGAGGGTGCACAGCACCTCTCTATACTATTCTGCAATATTCTGTGATTCTTATTTTTCAAAACAAGAAAGTTAGGAAAAAAGAAATAGTCTAGATTACAGGTTTAATAGTCAGCTCTACCTTCTGCACGAAGCTGGTTTTTCCTGGCAGGTACCGGAGGAGACTGTGCCATGGACACAGAACTGTCCTGTTTAACAATCATGACAAAGATAAATTCAGTATATGTCTTCCCTACTCAGAAGTTTTAAAAGAGGAATTTAAAAAAAAAAATGTAAGAGAATCCAAATTCCCAACCAATCTATCTATAAACTTACCTACATCTATTTTTTCTTCCCACTACCATCCCTTACTCTTCTTTCTCTACCACCTTTCTATCAGTCTGTGCTTAAAAAACTAACTTCACCCTTCATCACTCACTATCTAGCATCCATTCTCTCCTTCCTTCACAGTCATTCTTCAAAAAAAAACACAACAGTATGTGCAGTAGTATGGTGCCTGCTCCCTTATTCCCATTCACTCCTCACCTTGCAGCCACTGCCTTTGCATCTCCTACCAAGTGACCCCTCAGTGATGCAGTCTACGGGCATTTTAAGCCCTTATTTTACTTGGCCAGTAGCAACTACTATCACTGACACTTTATTTCCTTGCTCTAAGTGGTGATAATTCTCTACTGTTAGATCCTCAGCCCTTTACTTCCCCTGAACATACACAAGACAATCGTACTACTTAGGCAGTAATGTTAGTAGTCTCCAGGCTACAAATCCGGTGCAGAGCTCCTTCCTTGGCCACGACATGTATTTTCAACCGCCTACTCTATATAAAGTTGTCACTGACTCCGACCCACCACATGCAGTCAGTATACCACTATCTGTGTTTCATCAACATATCTTGAAGTTGTCACCCTTTTTCAGTTCTTAATGTCACTGCCATTGTTTAGGTCCTCAAAATCACATCTGGACTTTGCAAAAGCATCTTAACTTTACAGTTTTGCTCCACCTCCATGATGCATCTCCATACCACTGCCTGAGAGAATATTATGCAAGACAAACACGACCATGTCATTTTCCTACTTAAAACATTACATGAACATCATACATGACCACGGACCTACTAAACCAGAACCACAGAGAGTGGGGTTAGGAAGACATTCTTTTTTTTTTTTTTTTTTTTTGTTATACATTGATATGAATTAGCCATGGATTTACATGTATTCCCCATCCCAGTCCCCCCTCCCACCTTCCTCTCCACCCGATCCCTCTGGGTCTTCCCAGTGCACCAGGCCCGAGCACTTGTCTCATGTACCCAACCTGAGCTGGTTATCCGTTTCACCCTAGATAATATACATGTTTCAATGCTGTTCTCCTGAAACATCCCACCCTCTCCTTCTCCCAGAGTCCACAAGTCTGTTCCATACATCTGAGTGTCTTTTTCTGTTTTGCATATAGGGTTAGGAAGACATTCTAATACATTTCTCTGTGTATTCTAGTAATTGGCCTCTAGTAATTGGTATCCTATAGAATGAATCAAGCCCTCTAGCACTCCATACAACACCCTGCATATGTTCTAACCTTCACCTCCCCTACTTCATGGTCAGGCATTATCAGGCCAGACCAAACCATGTATTCTCTATGCTACCAAGTGGCTTACAGTTCCCTCCAAGATTCTGCATGTGCTGGAAGTTGCTCTTCCTCATCCTCCTTTGGGCAAATTCCTACTCACTCTTCAAGAGTCGACTCAAGGATCAACCCTTTCTGGAACATTTTCCTGGCTGTCTTTTAATTGTAATTCAGTCTAAAGTACAAGGGACTTCATTAGCATAACTACAACTAGCTAGTAGATATATTATCAAAGAAAAAGCCTTCCTGAGGGACCTGGACAAGAGCCACATGCTATATCATGAGCTGTCAAAAGAATTTAAACTTTGGGGCACCAAAGTTTTATCATTTATAAGTATTATCATTTAGAACTGAAGAAACAGACAAATTACTGTAACATCACCTATGTTTCAGATCTGAAAAAAGTAATCTAGCTAATTAAGATGAATAAGAAAATCTCAATCAATCCCCTTAATCTTAGATGAACAAATCAAAAGAAAAAGCATATACCTGAGTAAAGGAAGTTATAATGCTGTCAACTGAAGGAGGTCTTTGGAGTCTGCTTGCAATCTTATTCTGAAGAGCAGGAACTACAGGAGAAGGCTGTCTCAAGTGCTGGTGTGGGGGGAGGGGCGGGAAATATATATATATATGTATATACACACATACTCCCCAACATATGTCTATGTGTGTATACACATACCCCAACATGTATGTGTGTGCATGCACACACACATATATGTATACATATACATATGCAAACACACACACCCCTAATAGTTAACAAGACCACCAAAGAGGTTGACTACTATTGCTTTATTTTAATAAAACATTTACCAAAAAAATCTATAAAAATATCAGATCACTATGTTGTGCACTCAAAACCAATATTTTGATATAAATCAACTACCTTCCATTAAAAAACATATCTACCCAAGAAGTCAGAAATTCAGTTATGTAAGATCAAATATATTAGTTAGGATAAACAAATGGATTTACATATCCTTATTAAAGAATATGACTATCAGACTAGGATTAAAAAATTCAACAAACTGAATTAAAGCAATCGCATACCAGATATTGGGAAAGCAGCAAAAATAAAAAAAAAATAGCCAAAGTAAAAAACTGTCTCAATAATAAAAAGAAATAGGATAAAACAAAAAAGAAACAAAAACCCTTTCTGGGAAAATGATATAAATCAGTCTCTAAAATCTAGATTCCCTTGTCACCAGGAACATCACGGGTCAAAGCAGAGCTCTGCATCTCCATGAGAGAAGAAAACAGGGTTTCAGATCATGGTGTAATAAAGCTAATAGCTCCCAACTTCATATTAAAATCAAAATGCTGGAAACACAAATACTCTCAACAAAATTCAATAATGACTGTCTGGGTAAAAATATAAATGTGTATGCAAAAAGGTGGATGTTAATTGTTCATTCTGCATGGTACAAAATCGAATATTATTTTCACTAGTGACTAATACAGTTAGAAATATATGAGAGACAAAATTTAAAAAGAAACTCTAGGTGACCACAAGCAGAAGTATAGCAACAAATTAAACCTTCTAAAGGACTGCAAAGAATGAAGCAAAGAAAGTATAGTCCACATAACAAACGATTAACTGTCAAGGGAGCAAAAACAAACAAGAAAGTCAGAAATTCAATTAATATGATCAAACACATTAGCCATGATAACATAAATGGATTCAATACCTCATTAAGATTATAATTCAGATTAGGATAAAAAGCAAATTTCAACAAACTAAAATATACAGACTAAAAATTTTAAATGCAGACAAAAAAGTAAAAACTAAAAGAGTAGAGATATTTTAGGCCTACATAAATTAAAAAATAACAGCTAGCAATGATAATTTCAAAATTGAGGGTAAAATGTGTTAAAAGGAACAAAGCTGCTCTAAAACTTTCTGATACATCACAATTAAACTGTAAAACAGTCATAAAATTACATATCCCTAAGCATTTTTTTAGGTGCAATAAATGGCAGAAGCAGAACTGTGAGAAACAACTTTCCTTTTCAAATAATCAATTCTACAATAAAATATTCTCTTTCCATTCAATTCTGCTATAAACCAAACACTGCTCTAAAAAACAAACATTATCAATTAAAAATGTGAATGATATGACACTTGACTGATATATTTTAAAAGGCTGAGAAAATATATATCCAATTATATATCCTAAGAATGAAGGATATTAGCCTTATATTCCTGAAACACTGAAAATAAAACAAAAATATAGATCTGACTCATAGATTCCCCTTCAAACAACGTTTCAGAAAATTCAAATTGTGAATACTTATTTCTATCACCATAAAACCTGGGGGTAAGAAATTCAAAGAGTATAACTGCACCAATCAGAAATGGCTCACATGATCTGCAGAAGATTACATATTGAACAATGTACCAAAACACACCATAAATATACCAGAGCAGCACACTGGTTGAAAGTAATCTTTTTGTCAACACTACTTAGAAGAAATAATGTCTGCATAAATCTAAATTTCTGAAAACAATATTTTAAAAATTAAATTGGGCTAAACCTACAAGATACGGGGTTTTCCAAGGTATGGTTCACAAGCCAACTGCATCCAAACCCCTATGGGTTACTAAATCACACTTAGTAAATCAGATACTGCCGAGAAAGACTGAGGGCAGGAGGAGAAGGGGCAGACAGAGGATGAGATACTTGGATGGCATCACTGACTCAATGGACATGAGTTTGAGCAAACTCCGGGAGACAGTGAAGGAGAAAGAAGCCTGGCATGCTGCAGTCCATGGGGTCGAAGAGTTGGACATGACTTAGTGACTGACCAACAACAAATCAGCTACACTGTAGACAAGACCAGGAAGATGCATTTTTATTAAGTTCCCTAGTGATACTATGGGCAGAGAGCTAAGAATCCACCTGCCAATGCAGGAGATGTGGGTTCAATTCGTGCGTCAGGAAGATCCCCTGGAGAAGCAAATGGAAACCAACTCCAGTATTCTTGCCTGGGAAATCCCATGGACAGAGGAGTTGCAAAACAGATGGACATGACAGTGACTAAACAAGTGATACTGTACATCGTAAATCTTAAATATAGCTTTGAAATATAAGCAAATATATGAACTGAATTTTCATAAGGGCCAACTGATTTTCTAGAGAGAAAACACCTGTCTAATAACTGATTCACACACCTAACAGTGAATCAACCTCCATCTCAGAAACATGGACTTCAAATCAATCTGCAGTGAGCCACAAGTTTCTTTTTTAATTTCCAATCCATTGAGGACAGACGCATAAACGAGTAAGAATGAATTCTAGTTGATCCCTGAACAATGCACATTGGAACCACACAGGTCCACTTCCAGAGAGATTTTTCTGTATCAAATACTGCAGTACTACAGGCAGTGGTGGGCTGATTACAGACTTGTAGAAACTGCAAGTATGGAGGGCCAGTTATCAATCACACCCATGGATTAACCCCTGGGCTTAGCCCTGATTCAAGGGTCAACTGTACTAGCTAAATAAAAACTGTTAACAGATGTTACAAAATCCAAACCCGACTTTTTTTTTTTTTAACAGATTCAACAGACATAAAACTATAATGACAAATTGCCACAACAATTTCCAAACACTTTCAATCTTATCAGGAACAGTTTGTAGGGTGCTGGTCTACAGACCATGGGAACAAGACTACTCTGTTCCCAGCAGGGAAGACACAGCAAAGCACAGTGATATCATCTAGGACAGGAGGTTCGGTGCACTGCACCCAGAAAAGCACCAGGACGAAAGTGGAGACAAAAGCACCTCCTCTGCTCTCTCCTTTTTGCTGACCACTCTACTTTTACAGGGAAAATGGGTTAAACAATGGGTTCCACAGACATTTTTGTCTGAAACTTACCTTTGTATCTTCCTCAACCATATTTTCTCTTTCATAGTAGTGCTGAAGTTGTAAGTTACGTTTTTCTTCTTCTTCTTTCTTCTTTCTTTCTGCTTCTTTTCGTCTTTCTTCAGCTAACCGAATAAGCTCTTCATTTTTCAGTCTTTGCTTTAAAATAAAGAAAAAATACACACTCCATCCACACATTCAGTCCATTCATATTTGTGTGAAATAAAGAGATAAAATGAAGGGTATAGCTGACATGCTCAAGTCGCTCAGTTGTGTCCAATTCTTTGCGACCCTCTGGACTGCAGCCCACCAGGCTCCTCTGGCCATGGGATTTTCCAGGCAAGAATACTGGAGCGGGCTGCCATTCCCTCCTCCAGGGGATCTTCCCGACCCAGGGATCAAACCAGTGTCTCCTGCATTGCAGGCAGATTCCTTACTGCTGAGTTATCAAGGAAGCCCACAGATGACATACTGGTCTGCTTACAATAAAATATTAGGCATCTAAAATATTACAACATGCTAGTCAGTCTAAACTATTTTTTGGCTGTAGAAAAAGTCATCATTTATCTCTTTTCTTAATTCAGTATTTCATTTTTATAAAGTAACATCTAACAAATGCATATTGATCTGATATTTTCTAAATGTACTTCAAGACTGTTCTCCTTTGTGAGTAATAAGTATCTTTTCAAGTCAAAGCAAGCAGTTCACTCGCAGACTAAGCAGAAAGGGAGCAGGGAAAAAACGCACCTCCTCCTCTTTCTCCCTTTTCTTTTCCTGCTCCTCCTCATACTCTTGCTGGATTCGAGCTCTCTGTTCTGCAAGCCGCTTTTCTTCTTTTTCTTCAGCAATTCTTAATCTCTCTCGCTCTGCTTCTTCTCTTTGCTTCTTTTCTTCAATCTAAAGAATTAAACCTAGTTATTACTTTGTGAAGCTGCTGAAAAGTTAGAACACCACTCAATTTACCCTGTTATCCTATGAATTCAGCCTTTATATCCTGCTTTTGTAAGTAAGTTGCTAAATTTTTCAGTTTCCTCTATTGTATTAGAGAGGCCACATGACATAATGATAAGAGCTCTAAGTAAAATTCCAGCTCCCACAGACCTTATGAAACTTTCTGGTTCAGTTTTGTCATCTAGTAAAAAGAGTTACTAACGTCTATATCTCAAAGTAGTGCTCAAAGATTGAAATGAAACTATGTATGTAAAAAACATAAAAGTTCCTAAGTAGAAGGTCCAATACTTAGTAATTCATGATTATATTATTCTATAATGACTACTACTACTATGTCTCAATGTTCCTTGTGATTAGTATCCTGAAACAGCAGTGAAATGTTTTAGCAACCATCCTTTAAGTAGAAATCTCTTCCCTAGAATAGCCTTTCTTATTTCCTTTCTAATGACAAGATGTAAGGTATATGAAGATGTCAGCTTCAAGGATTCATAATTAAGTTTCGTTTGAATGCCACCTGAAACCTGCAGTGCTGAGTATTCTAGGCGAATATTGTAAGGCAAAATCTAAGATGTGACATGAAGAAGACTCTAAGAGATAGTCTACATCCTCCATGAATGAGACAGAGAAAAATGACAGCATGGTACCCGAGGATTCATGATGCTAGTTTAAGGATATCAATAAATTTTTATCCCTCTTAAGTATGGACTGATCATGACTATTCACAATATTTTAAGAGTTCTTGTCTGCATTTCCTCTAGTCTCAAGGTTGCTGTATTTGACTGCTGTCAAACTTTTGAGCTATAAGAATGCGGTCTTCTTACCTATGCCACAACTTTACATGCTAGGGCTTTTTCCAACATTTATCAAAACCCTTTTAGATATGTACAGTCCTAATATTTAGGACTAAGTGGTGTGTATGTAATCACCTCCTCAATTACAACAGCCCTAAAGAAAGCATCATTCATGAACCATACAATAAAACCACACATTTAACACTCAGTTCCCTTTTTCTCCTCCATGAAAAAAATAATCACAATCAGCAGGTCACTTCACCATTAATGGGTCACAATCATAAATGGATCTCACACCTAAAGAATCCACAGAAATATCATTCCAACAAAAATGCCACAGAGCTGTTCAACAGAAAGAGAAAAGCTATTGCTCAGGTCAATGGTTTTCAAACCATATAATACAAAAGTAGTTCAATGGTCCTGCAAATATTTTATTAAACTTGTTAATTATTTTTAAAGCTACAGTTTACAATGACATCTAAACACTTGCATGTATTATTCACCAAATCTGAAGCACATGAAGACTTTTGCTGCACTAAAACTAATGGTATAACTTTTTTAGTGTTAAAACTTATTTATGCAGATAAAGAGCTAAGGCTTCCTTTGCATCTTTGTGCACAGATCTGAACATTTTATAACATTTCTTTTAACACTTAAGTTTGGGGATTCTTTTTGTCTGACATTATATTGTTGATATTAATAAATACCACTTAGCTATTTTACATTTTCTTGGAGCTCTGGAATAATTTTGTTTGGGGGAAAAGCAGGAGTTTTTAACAGACTGCTAAAAGAAAAATACATAAACCACCATTTTATAGGGTGGGAGAACTGAAGGTTGAACTTATTCTGAAACTAGTAAGTCAACGTTTCCCAAACTACTAGTAGTCTTTTCCCAGAAGAAAGACACTGCAGAGTGTGGAATCTCTAGGTATGATAAAGTCCAGAGACTTGGGGTCAATGTGCTAGCTCTGCCACCACAGGTGAGCTTCAGCCTTTTTTTTTGGTCTTAAAATAAAAATACTAATACCTTCCTCAGAGAGTTGTGAGGTTTAATAAGAGACTATATGTAGAACTATCTTACAAACAATAAAAGACTACAAAATGGCAATATTTATTTTTCCCTAAATTCTACCCTCAGTTCAGTTCAGTCGGTCAGTCATGCCCAACCCTTTGTGAACCCAAGGACTGCAGCATGCCAGGCTTCCCTGTCCATCACAAGTCCCAGAGCTTGCTTAAATTCATGTCTATGGAGTTGGTGCTGCCATCCAACTACCTCATCCTCTGTCATCCCCTTCTTTTCCCGCCTTCTATCTTTCCCAGCATCAGGGTCTTTTCGAATGAGTCAGTTCTTCCCATCAGGTGGCCAAAGTATGGGAGCTACAGTTTCAGCATCAAGTCCTTTCAATGAATATACAGGACTGATCTCCTTTAGGATGGATTGGTTGGATGTCCTTGCAGTCCAAGGGACTCTCTCAAGAGTCTTACCAACACTGCAGCTCAAAAGCATCAATTTTTCAGTGCTCAGCTTTCTTTATGGTCCAACTCTCATATCTATACATGACTACTGGAAAAATCATAGCTTTGACTAGATGGATTTCTGTTGGCGAAGTAATGTCTCTGATTTTTAATATGCTATCTAGGTGGGTCACAGCTTTTCTTTCAAGGAGTAAGTGTCTATTAATTTCATGGCTGCAGTCCCATTTGCGTTGTTTTTGGGGCCCAAAAAAACAAAGTCTCTCTACTTTAGACCATGTAAATACTTGCTAAGTACAACAGGAACTATTGATATATAATTTTCACTTGTTATCATTATGGGCAATATACCAGAGGGTCCTACAAGTTCAAAAAGTGACTCTATGGACCCTCAATCTGCTGTACCTAACTCAAGTGGCCAGTATCCTCAGGATCTCTGATACTGTGCTTCCAGTATCATTCTGCCAATCTCTATTAATTCATTCTCTATTCATTCTGCCAAACCTCAAAAATGTCTTTTCATCCATTTCCAGTCACAACTCTAGTGAAATAACCACGCTTCAGTTCAGTTTAGTCACTCAGTCGTGTCCGACATTTGCGACCCCATGAACCACAACATGCCAGGCCTCACTGTCCATCACCACTCCTGGAGTCCACCCAAACCCATGTCCATTGAGTCGGTGATGCCATCCAACCATCTCATCCTCTGTCGTCCCCTTCTCTTGCCCTCAATTTTTCCCAGCATCAGGGTCTTTTCAAATGAGTCAGCTCTTCGCATCAGGTGGTCAAACTATTGGAGTTGCAGCTTCAACATCAGTCCTTCCAATGAACACCCAGGACTGATCTCCCCTAGGATGGACTGGTTGGAGATCCTTGCAGTTCAAAGAGCTCTCAAGAGTCTTCTCCAACACCACAGTTCAAAAGCATCAATTCTTTTGCACTCAGCTTTCTTTATATCCAACTCTCACATCCATACATGACTACTGGAAAAACCATAGCCTTGACTAGACGGACCTTAGTAGGCAAAGTAATTTCTCTGCTTTTTAATATGCTGTCTAGACTGGTCATAACTTTCCAAGGAGTAAGCGTCTTTCAATTTCATGGCTGCAACCACCATCTGCAGTGATTTTGGAGCCCAGAAAAATAAAGTCAGCCACTGTTTCCATTGTTTCCCCATCTATTTGCCATGAAGTGATGGGGACAGATGCCAAGATCTTAGTTTTCTGAATGTTGAGCTCTAAGCCAACTTTTTCACTCTCCTCTTTCACTTTCCTCAAGAGGCTCTCTAGTTCTTCTTCACTTTCTGCCACAAGGGTGGTGGTGTCATCTGCATATCTGAGGTTATTGATATTTCTCCCAGCAATCTTATTCCAGCTTGTGCTTCTTCCAGCCCAGCTTATTTCATGATGTACTGTGCAATAAGCAGAGTGACAATATAGTCTTGACGTACTCCTTTTCCTACTTGGAACCAGTATAACTGTTGGAACCAGTTCTAACTGTTGCTTCCTGACCTGCATACAGATTTCTCAAGGGACAGGTCAGGTGGTCTGGTATCCCTTCCCATCTCTTTCACAGTTTCCCACAGATTATTGTGATCCACACAGTCAAAAGTTTTGGCATAGTCAATAAAGCAGAAATAGATGTTTTTCTGGAACTCTCTTGCTTTTTTGATGATCCAGTACATGCTGGCAATTTGATCTCTGGTTCCTCTGCCTTTTCTAAAACCAGCTTGAACATCTGGAAGTTCACGGTTCACGTATTACTGAAGCCTAGCTTGGAGAATTTTAAGTACTACTTTACCAGCGTGTGAGATGAGTGCAATTGTGCAGTAGTTTGAACATTCTTTGGCATTGCCTTTCTTTGGGACTGGAATGAAAACTGACCTTTTCCAGTCCTGTGGCCACTGCTGAGTTTTCCAAACTTGCTGGCATACTGAGTGCAGCACTTTCACAGCATCATCTTTTAGGATTTGAAATAGTTCACCTGGCATTCCATCACCTCCACTAGCCTTGTTCATAGTGATGCTTCCTAAGGCCCACTTGACTTCACATTCCAGGATGTCTGGCTCTAGGTGAGTGATCACACCATCGTGATTATCTGGGTCATGATCTTTTTTGTATAGTTCTTCTGTGTATTCTTGCCACCTCTTCTTAATATCTTCTGTTTCTTTTCGGTCCACACCATTTCTGTCCTTTATTGAACCCATCTTTGCATAAAATGTTCCCTCGGTATCTCTAATTTTGTTGAAGAGATCTCTAGTCTTTCCCATTCTGTTGTTTTCCTCTATTTCTTTGCATTGATTGCTGAGGAAGGCTTTCTTATTTCTCCTTGCTATTCTTTGGAACTCTGCATTCAGATAGGTATATCTTTCCTTTTCTCCTTTGCTTTTCACAGCTATTTGTAACGCCTCCTCAGTTATTTTGCTTTTTTGCATTTCTTTTTCTCAGGGATGGTCTTGATCCCTGTCTCCTGTACAATGTCATGAACCTCCATCCATAGTTCATCAGGCAGTCTATTAGATAGTCCCTTAAATCTATTTCTCACATACAGTGTATAATTGTAAAGGATTTGATTTAGGTCATACCTGAATGGTCTAGTGGTTTTCTCCACTTTCTTCAATTTAAGTCTGAATCTGGCAATAAGGAGTCCATGATCTGAGCCATAGTCAGCTCCTGGTCTTGTTTTTGCTGACTGTATAGAGCTTCTCCATCTTTGGCTGCAAAGAATATAATAAATCCGATTTTGGTGTTGACTATCCGGTTATGTCCATGTGTAGAGTCTTCTCCTGTGTTGTTGGAAGAGGGTGTTTGCTATGACTAATGTGTTCTCTTGGCAGAGCTCAATTAGCCTTTGCCCTGCTTCATTCTGTACTCCAAAGCCAAATCTGCCTATTACTCCAGGTGTTTTTTGACTTCCTACTTTTGCATTCCAACCCCCTATAATTAAAAGGACATCTTTTTTGGGTGTTAGTTCTAGAAGGTCTTGTATGTCTTCATAGAACTGTTCAACTTCAGCTTCTTCAGCATTACTGGTCAAGGCATAGACTTGGATTACCATGATATTGAATGGTTTGCCTTGGAAACGAACAGAGATCATTCTGTCATTTTTGAGACTGCATCCAAGTACTGCATTTCGGACTCTTTTGTTGACTATGATGGCTACTCCATTTCTTCTAAGGGTTTCTTGCCCACAATAGTAGATATAATTGTCATCTGAGTTAAATTCACCCATTCCAGTCCATCTTACGCTGATTCCTAGAATGTTGATGTTCACTCTTGCCGTCTCCTGTTTGACCACTTCCAATTTGCCTTGATTCATGGACCTAACATTCCAAGTTCCTATGCAATATTGCTCTTTATAGCATCGAACCTTGCTTCTATCACCAGTCCCATCCACAACTGGGTGTTGTTTTTGTTTTGGCTCCATCCCTTCATTCTTTCTGGAGTTATTTCTACACTGATCTTCAGTAGCATATTGGGCACCTACCGATCTGGGGAGTTCATCTTTCAGTGTCCTATCTTTTTGTCTTTTCATACTGTTCACGGGGTTCTCAAGGCAAGAATACTGAAGTGGTTTGTCATTCCCTTCTCCAGTGGACCACATTCTGTCAGACCACTCCACCATGACCCGTCCACCTTGAATGCCCCCACACGGTATGGCTTAGTTTCATTGAGTTAGACAAGACTGTGGTCCATGTGATCAGATTGGCTAGTTGTCTGTGACCCATGCTTCAAGTCCTTTAAATCCACCCAAAATACATCAACAGTATTGCCAGATCAATTATCCTTAAGATCACATCCATTATGTCACTGCCTCATTTAAGAGTCAGTAATAATTAGGATCAGAAAGATGGCATATTTGAGTAGACTCTCTTTAAGAAGAATTTAAGAGGCTGGGATCAGACTGGATAGCCTAAAGTGTCAGAGTAAGGAATATGGACATTTTATTTAGAAAAACCACTGACAGATTTTAAATTAAAAAAAAAAAAAGCATGAGAAATTATATCAAAGGAAGATTAACTTGGCCAAAGGATTAATCTGACACTGGGTTGTAAGTGGATATGGAAGGGGGAATGATAAGAAGAGAAAATATTGTGAGCCCACTATGGGCAGGTGTCTCATTCACCTCAGGCTCCATTCCAAGGGTGGACACAGTATGAGAGTTCAATAAATCCATTTGCTTAATAAACACCTGATGCTCAAGTGTCTTCCTCTGGGCATTTCTAGTGTTTTAAATGCAATTTGCTTATACATATAAATGAAGCAAATAAATACAAAATGTGAGAGTATTTTTAATATTTACCTACAAACTAAACAACTGAGTCAAGAATATAAAATCATTTAGAAAAAAATTTTCTATTAACACATAAACATCTAGAAAGATTCATTTTATGCCTAATACGTGAACATTTTAAGAGTTTCAGTTTTAGAAATTCCAGCACTAACACTTAATGATTTAACAAAATTTAAAAAAGATTAAGTCAACTGGTATACCTGTCTCCTTATTCCTTTTTCATATATACATAACAGTATAATAATATAAATTAAATAATATAATTTCTATCTGATATGAATTAGATATTTTAGATAACTGCATGACATTTTAGAATTTATTCTTTATATTGTGGATAAAATCTTTGCAAGTTTATTAAAACTTTTATGAAACCTTGAAATAATGATCAAATAAGCATTTCACCTGAAAACGAAGAAAGTTCTTGTATAATTCCTGCTGCTTAATCTGAAGTTCAGTTGGAGGCTCACTAAAAATATTTCCCCGAGCAAAAGGAGAGCTCTGTGTTTGCATATGACCTTGAAAGGGAAATTTTGCAAAAACATACCATTAGCCAGTGCTTAGAAAACAAAAAGGTTAAAGAATAAAGACTTTGCTAAATAAATTCAAATTTTGAAAAAATGCACTAAATATGGAAGCCCAGAGGCTAAACTCGGAAGACGACTAAGATTAGAATCTTAAGACCAGATGAAAAGAGAGGGGAAAAATGGTGAAACTAAAATAAAAGTAATACACAGTTGAAAAATCATAATATAGCTATATCTGAAAGTCATCAAGGAAACATAAAAGTTAGTAACCTAAGCAACTCTCACTGCAGCAAAGGCTTTAAAATAAAATTTATACAGAGGAAAAAAAGCACACATTTAAGTTCTTATATATGATGTAAATATCCTTTTCTTAAGAATACTGCTTAATTACACATTAAAATGTATTATGTATACACATAAAAAATATTTCTAAAATTGCTTTTAAAAAAATCAGTGGATTCCTATCCATGGTTTAAAACACAGATTAGAAAATTAGCTCTAAAAACATTTTTAATTTTTACAAAATTAAAATGAGTTTTAATCACTGCAATACTTTTTACTTAAAAATTATATAAGATTAATGAGATATAAGTTTGAAGATTAAAAATATGCTATATATATATATATATATATTATCTATAAATAGTACTAAACATTCTGGGAAAGGAAAAATATTATTTTATAAAAGCAGCCTGGAAAATAATTATACCCCAGCAGTCTTTTGAATGCAGAAAAAAACTGTATGCAAATTTAAGGCTCACATAATTTTTTTATATCATTTTATATCTATATAAAAATATACCATTTTTTAGTTTCCTTATACCATCAATCTAAAGCATTTATTTCTCTCATATAGTGGTTGTAAACCAACTGCTTTGCAGTTGAGCTGTCATTTAGGTCTCTTTTTCTTTGCATTTAAATTTACTAATGCTTGAATAGATCAGCAGAAAGGCAAATCAATACCTAAACATTAAAATCTTAGGTTATGGTGGAAAAACTGATCAGCAAAACAAAACTGAGTTGTTTGTTTCACATTGAGATCTATCAAATTCTAAACCTTTGAGGCAATTAGAGAAGAATTATTATTAGAGACAGGCAAGATAAGTTCTTTTAAACATAAAAACATTATAAAAACAAACCCAAAGGGAAAGACATGCTCTAAACAAAGAAAATGAAAATGCATTCAGGCATCATAATAAGCAAAAAAATAAATTTAATCCAAAGTAGTATGAACTTTATAAACATGATTTTTCATCCAAAAACCATGAAGTAAAAGAAAAACAACAAACATTAAGAAGAGCTTTTAAAACAGGCCTAATGAAGGCAAAATATTAGACGATAGTGAATCTCAAGTATGTATTAAGATATTCAACTTCCAGGCATATTTGAGCTCCCTTAAGGCCTTTAAAATACTACATGTCACATATGTATGTTGTACGTGTGCACACATGTATATAAACATACACACACATATACATACCCTCCTACACATATATGATGGAACAGCAACAAATTAGGTTATTCTCAATAGTTTTTTTGCATTCAGAAAGTCTATTTTATATTAATTCTTAGGAAACGAAAGTTAATTGAGGGAATTTCAATGCACAAAAATGGAGAATTTAAACATTTTATTATTTCTTAAACTAGAGCATCCTGGCCACAACATTAGCAGCAAAACCCTTGTGTTAGATATAATAAAAATAGATGACAAATTCTGCTGTGCATATTCAATCATCAAGGCTGTACTCTTTTGGGGGAAAGAGTCATGGAAACTTTCTATTTTTCCTGTGTTTTTGCTTGGTAAGCAAAGCCAGATGCCTGACGTGTTATTATTATGACAGACGAAAGTTCTAAGCTAAGAGGGAACTAGGTACAAACAACACAGGGGGTGGAAGAGAGGAGCAGAGAAGGGGTCTGTACCACTGATCCCAACACAGACTGCTCCAAAAGCAGCAGCCAATGAAGAGAAAAATAAGGGTCATCAGAAAGAAGCAAAAGTTCTCTAAAATAAGATGAAAAGGTGTTATGATGTACAAAGAAATAAACAAAGTAAGTTTACTTTGACTTCTGGTCACATTACCCATTTATTTACAGTAAACGCTCTGTGCTTTCTCAAAAACTTTAATTTTAGACAAGAACACTGTACTAAAAAGTCCTTTCAAAATATCCCTGACTGATCATATTGTCTTTTTAAAAAATTTTTTAATGTTTAATACATATGACTTATTGGCCAAACAGGTAGACTAAATGGTGAGCTCTGATTTGAATTACTAGCCTTGTATCTTTCAAGCCTTTGATGGCAGCACTAATTTCTGCAGCCTTTTGGAACACTTCAAGAGATGTACTGTAGGTTGTTTCCGTAAACAGCCTGTATCACTGTTTAATCTCTAATTATAAGAAAATACTTTCCTACTTTGATCCATAGTAGATTTTTACACAGTGAATCTAGTTTTGATTTTTGGACTACTAAAAGTAGAATTTTTGATGAAATTATTAATTTGGCTCTCATTCTGAGTCCTTAATTCAATTTGCTGTAAATAAATGGTTATTTTTATAGGCATCAAAATACAGTATAAGGTGGTACATTCTTTAAACTTCACTTGAATTCTAAATATGTAATAGATTTTCACATATACCTGATAAAGAAAGATAATTACAAATTTTCCTGGCAAGTCATAAAGATACTGAATAATCTTCAATTTACAGAATCTTTAATTAAAGGACCCTGTTTAATACCAAACCAAAGGTATATGCTTATGAAAGGGAGATGTGACCAGAAGTCAAAGTAAATTATTTACTTCTTTGTACACTGTGGCTTATAAGGGAAGGCAAATGTTTATAAAACAAACAAAAAATGAATTTCACTGTATAATTTATCATACAACATCTGGTATGTTCTCACTAATTTAAACTAATTCTTACGGGTGTAAGAACCAAACTCTGTATGGGTTAAAAAAAAAACAAAACTATTTGATTTTAAGAAATGTCCTTCCCAATGTATGACAAAACCCACTGCAATGTTGTGAAGTAATTAGCCACCAACTAACAAACATAAATGAAAAAAAAAAAGAAATGTCCTTCCCACTAGCAAAACGAAGCTGTTAGCAGTAGCTAAAGTATATATAAGAACTAATAAAGCTGAGAAGAAATACACAGTATAATATTAAGGAGCAAAATATATTTTATTCATTTTTTCAAAATACCTACATAGAAAAGTTATTGTAAATAGCATAAATAATGTGTTATGCTTTCTGACTCAGAATAACCAACTTCTCAAAATCTTAATAAGAGCTTTGTTGGAGAACAGAAGAGAAATGCTACTGAACAACTTTAGAAACGTAAAATATATATATATATATATATGATTAAAAACCTGAGTTTTTATTTGCAGGATCTTCTTGGTTCTCAGTATTTGAAGTGGCTAAATTTTGGTCTAGAGATACAACAGCCCTTTTATCTTCATATGTTCTTGCATCTGGGTTATGGTAGGCATCTATATTTTGTCTGTGCATCCTATTCAAATCAGCTGAGAGGGAAAAAATAAGCCATTTATTTCAATAAACATATGTCTATAATTAATATGCTTAATACATTTTCTTAAAGTAAGGAAATGAAGAGAACCAACAGGACCAGAACTGGAATAATTAAACAGTATCTTGGTACCCTGAAAACAGAAACAAGATTATCAAAACTTGTAAGAAATTTTTTCAAAAATGTTACAAAATGAATTCAAAATTAGTACTTAAAGAGAACTTAAAGAGTGTATATGTTTTTGACAATCCATAAAAACCATATTTATATGTAGCTACCTTAGAACTTTGACTATCTAAATATAGAATAGTAGCAATTCAAAACTAGTCACAGTGAAATCTACCCAACATCATTAGTATTCCTAATGAAAAAATATCATGTGGAGTTTTTAAACATATTCATAAGTTTTCTTTTATATAAACATTCCTTAAAAGATGGAGCTGTATTCCCCTCCTCTGGAGTGTGGATTACTTCTTATGAAAAGGATTCTGCACAATGACGGAATAAAACTTTCGAGGCTACTTCATAAAAGACATTATGTTTCCATCTTGCTAGATCTATTGGTTCACTCACTTGAAGAAAGCCAGCTATCATTCCATAAGGACACTCAAAGGAGCTCTAAGGGGAAGTCCAAACAGCAAGGAATTGAGGCCTCCTGAGTCATGTGAGGGAGCCACAGAGAAAACAGACTCTCCAGTCCCAATCAAGCCTTTGAACGACTTTTAGTCCTGACTGACATATAAAAGGGTGAATTCTATTGTATGCAAATTGTCTCTCAATAAATGACATAAAAACAAACATAAATCTAACTGGGGCATATATAATACATAAAAAAACTTAAATACCTAATCAAATATACATGAAGCAATCTTGCTATTAGTCAATTAGAACCATGAGATATTTTTGCTATCTTTCAAACTGGTTAAGTATTTTTAATTTTTTTTTTTACTTTTTCTCTTGGTGTACAGTTTTTAAAAATTTTAATACAGAGTCAAGTAACATCACCATAATCAGGAATTGGAACAGTCCCATCACCCCCAAAAATTCCATCATAGTTACTCCCTGTCCTCAGCCATAATCTTGGTACCAGTGATTTGTTCTCCATTTCTACAGTTCTGCTATTTTGAGAATATATGTGTATGTAAAAGGGCTTCTTTCCCTTAGGTCTTCTCTTTGGAGTCTCCCAAATTGTTCTGTGAATCAACAGTTCATTCTTTAACTGCTAAGCAGCATCCCATCATATGAATGTACCACAGTTTATCCATTCACTCACCGTAGAATATACTCGGTTTTTTCTTTATGGGAACTTTAAAAAAGAACTGAGAATGGAAACAGATGTTAAATGTATTACAAATAATCAAAATGAGAGGTACTTACTCTCAAAGGGTTGACACTATGTTAAAATTGTATGGGTAACAGATTTTGATATTTTATTAATAACTACCTTACAAAGAGATCTTTCTGAGAGCTAAGAATACAGTGAACATTCAATTTCTTTAATTTCTTTGTAATAAAAGATGAAACAGGAGTAATTAGAAAAGCCAACAGCTGAATTAAAGTCATCCAACATAATCCCTGTTATACAGTCTTGGCCATCTCATGAAGTAAAGGAAAACACTGATTTTTACTACATATTGGGAATATAATAGGAAAATTAGGTTCCCTCTCTTTCTCTCAAATATAACAGCTAAATACAAAACACTCCTCAAGTTTACTTGCTTTGAAAATACCATTAAAAAAGAGTTCCACTGCATTTGATAAAATAGCACACCTTTTTTATTTCATGGCATAACTGAAGCATTAAATAAGCAAACTAAACATTACCATTAAAAATAAAAACTTCAGAAAGGTCTGCTCATCCCTGTTAGGTCAAGCAATTCTAAAACAATATACTATAATTCAATAACAAACACTTATCCTACTCACTTCCACCAATTAAACACATATAGGACACTATAATTATATTGTCTGAACTGGAAATAATCTTTGAGGCAAGCTGGAAACTTCTAGGAAATTATTCCAGTGTTTCCCAAAGTTTCTGTTACATAAGCACTTCCTTCATGGTAACTATTATGCTTCTATCGATTCATAATTTAAATTTATTAAAGCAAAGACTGGGTAGATGGTTATCAATTTTATGTCCTCTGCCTGGGTATAAAGAAACCCTTCCAGCCTCCAAAGAAGTTACTTTAGAACCTTATAACTAGATTTGAACAACTGAACAAAGACAAAAGTGATATTTCTCCACCTTTAGGTCAGGCCCCATCAAAATTCTCAACTTGTTCTCCCATCCTCTGGACCACGCCTGTGCAGCTAGAAATGAAAGACTCCAAAATGGTAAGAGCGACACTGGAAGAGACAGATTCCCAAGTCACCTCTTGGAGGAGAACCACTCAAACAGCATCGGAATGCAGTTTAAGTGAGAACTTACACTGCCTTAAGCCTGTGAGAAATGGGAGTTCTTTGTTAGACCACTTTTCGTTTAAATGCCTTTACTTTCAAAGGAAATGTTACAGTACCATCCATAAATGGAAAACCAGTAATATATTTTTTTTTCCAGTAATATATATATTTTTTAATATATATTCAAATAAACATTTAATTTCAAACATTAGAAATGTTAACCATGGATCACCTAATATCATCTTATTTATAAACAGAATAAGAGTTCTAACCTTCAAAATTGTGAAGAAAGTATGAGGTGAATATAGGAAAGGAATAAATCCATCGGAAAAAAAAAAGTTACCTCATTAATTTAAGTGGGCCTCAAATATATCTTTTTTAAAAAGCCATCTTAACAGAGAATCAAAGGCATAGCCATTAAGAACTCTAGTAACTCAATAACCCCCAATATCTCTGACTGCGTCACTGTTATCCCTACAACAAAGCATAAAATTGAAGAATGTCAAATTTACTTTCTATCACTCTAATGGGTTTTCTAATTAATCATTTCCCATTTCTAATTAAATGATTTTTAAAAACACATTATCTTTCTCTGCTTTTATTCTAAGCTAACTGAAGACCATCCCAACATATATAACAAGTTGCAAAAAGTCTCTTTTCAAAGTGTCCATTGTGTGATTTCTAGATGAAACATTTTTAAGAATACATAATTAAAAGATAAATCAATATAATTCTGCAATCTGCCAAACATTTCTGAGGACAGGTTTTTGTCAGGAGTTCCTGCATTGTGTGAGCATATGGCATACATGAATTAAACATAACATTCCACAACTACATCAGATCACTTAAGACACCGTATTAGTTTAAAAATATTGCAGTAAGGATTTTATTATTTTTACTAGAAAACTTTAAAAAATTCAAACTACTAGTTTGGGTAAAAACTTGCTAACTAACATAAACTTTTCTCTGCCAATGAGTTATTATCATTAGAGGGTGAAAAATTTGTAATAATAATAAATGAAGACAGGCTTTTTAACATGCTATCATGTTTACTATCAAAATACCTCTTCTGCATCAAGCTGTATAAAAAGAGACCTTTCCTTACAGACTATGATTCCCACTTCTTTCTACTCTCCATTCTTTTAAAAAGTTAAACTTAGTTTCTTTTGAAAACAACAAATCAGGGACTTCCCTGGTTGTTCAGTGGCTAGGACTCTGTGCTCCCACTGCAGGGGGCCAGGTTCAACCCCTGATCAGGGTACTGGATCCCACATGCTGCAGCTAAGACCTGATGCAGCCAAATAAATAAAATATTCTTAAAAAATCAATAGAAATAACATACTTATCAGATTTCCTTTGTCATCTCTCAGAGGAGCACCACCTCCACCTTTCCCCCAGGGGTTATAACTTCTCATTTCAGCTTCTAATTTGGCTTCATATACTTCTTTTTCTTCACGTTCTTTCTTTCTTCTTTCTTGTCTTTCTTGAATCTTAACAACATTAAGAAACATTTATAATAACTGATAACTGCTAACAAGTATTCTGATACAAAAAATTAGTTTTAAGATCAGATTTTATTTTTCTTATTAGAAAACTAGACTTTTTCCCAGTATACTTTATCATAAATTTAATATCACAAATATATGTTAAAAGCAATTAAAAAACACTTTGGTAGCTGGAATACATAGATGCTACTCCCTCACATCCTATCACTTGAGCCCTTTCCAGTCACTGGTGCCACTTGGACTAAAGCAACTTCATCTTCCCAACCCCCGGCTTCTACCTGAGCTATTCTCTCCCTAGCCTCACCATTTTCATGGGGTCCAACAGACTCTCCCTACCTTCATTTTCTTCATCTACCCTTTCATGGTACCCGGCCAGCCACAAACTACTCACCACATCTCTGAGACCTTGGCCAACTACTCCCTACCCATCACCAGACCTACTCTACCTTGGGCAAACTCCACTCCCAAAGTTCAAAGATACTGAAGGTTCAAAGCTCTCTAGAGAATGCCAGGCTATTTAAGCACACTTTCTGAAAGCACATAAAACGGTCTTATCATCACCAAGTGTAAGCGTAGGGTTGGTCTTTAAAGACATAAAAATAGGCAATGAAAGATCTACATTTTGGAAAGTCACTTTCAAAATCAATACCATATGCAAGGCAAATTTAAGTAACTACTCCAGGAAGGTCAAGGAAGTCATCACATAAAAAATATTTAGGGTTAGGAAATCTGGTTCTGTCAGTGGTGTTTTTAATATGCTCATTTGAAAACAGATAAATATAGTCACTTGTTTGTAGATTCCGAACACAAAAAAATAATGTTGGTACTTGTGTAATTTTAAAAAAGCCCACTTTTCAAGGAGGTTGCCCAATGTAGAAAACAGAACAAAAATCTGAGCTTTAGAAAAAATCCAGTGGAATTTTGTAGAAGGGTACCTCAGGTGAATATATATATACCTAGAGTTCCAGGGACCTCTCTGGAAAAGATATAACTATTCCCCCCAAAATCCACATATTTGATACAGTTATTCCTAAGTAAACTCTCTCCAAATATTACAAACCACAACAGAATGTCATCCTCCTCCCTAAGTGTTCTACCTCTGTTTTCCCTATCCCTAAGAGTTCATAGCTTCATCCTCCTCTTATATTACAACACTCAGAATCATCTCACAGCCCTGTTCTTTCTTCAGTCCCTAAATTTAAGTCCTATTAATGAAACCCCAGAACTGTCTCTTCTGATGTCCTGTCCATCTTCCCCACCTGGTACAGGACCTTGTTACTTCCTGGCTAGACTACCTAATAGTTTCTCCAGCACATCTCTTTCCCAACTGTCCACATCACAACCAGATATCTTCCTAAAAGCCACATCTGCTCACATCAATTATAACATTTCTTTCACTCTTTGGCTTAAGATTTCCTCCCTTTGGCTGTCGATAGATAACAAGATGAAACTGAAAACCCCTTACTTGCTATCTTCCAAAATCCAGTATAATCTAACACTCCAGCCCCTTCTCCAGCCCCAATTCCATTTCCTGAATACACCAGGAATTTCATATTTATTCACTGTATAACATGCAACTCAAAAGTCATCAACCATGTGAAGCCATCCTAAAGGCCAAGGCAATTACTCTCCCTATCCCATGCATTCCAGCCTGTCTATATCAAACTTTATCACATTTAATGATAAATAAGTGGAATTCTTTCTCCTCAGCCACACTCAGAGTTTTAAAGGGCCACTGTACTAACACATAAGATGTTTAACATTACATGAATGAACAAATGAAAAAAATGAATGGATACCTGCTGCTGCAAAGCTTCCTGGTAAGACTGAAGTGACTGTTTTGAAGGCTTTGGTTTATCTTCAAAAAACAATCCTGAATTTATCGCTCGATTACTTGTAATTCTGAGCTCATTCTGTCCAACTGTACTCCTACATCAAATATACAATTAATAATCTAAATCCATTTATGACAAAACAAGGAGAAGATGCAACACTTCTTTGAAATAGCATGACATATAAGTACATTTAAAATAGAGAAATGGCAACCTATTTCAGTATTCTTGCCTGGGAAATCCCACGACAGAGGAGCCTGGTGGGCTACAGTCCATGGGGTCGCAGAGTCAGACATGATAAAGCAACTAACACACACACAAAATAGAGAAATTCCTTCTTTATAGTTCAAAGAGAAATTTGTCAGTTAATGACCCCTTCAAAATTAATGGAACTTTCAAATTTACTGAATCTACTTCCTAATCTAGGTGGCAGTTATATGCAAGTAAAACTTTCACATACAAAGAAAAACACTTGTGATAATTCATCAAGCAATATACACATGACCTACGCACTTCTCTGAATGCAGTGGAAGTTCCTCAAGTAATATCATAACTAATGATTCACTTTAAAAATTTACTCCAAAATAAAGTAATAACTTCCTAGCCATTTTAAGAATAAAACAAAAAATTATAGTAAAAAGTCCAACTATCCCAAATAAAATTTATTTCACTGAGTCATAGATTTTATTAATGGCATCGATGGTATAAGACTAATAAAATCCCTAAAACCTTGCCCTGTTTATGGAGGCCTGGGATGGGAATTGTGTCAAAGGTGAGAGGTTCTAACTGCTGGGTAAAGTTATAGCAATGATTCTGTAGTAATTGAAGGCCCCTTCTACCCTTCCTTTTTTTAATTTTCTTTTCCCCTGGTAATCCAAGGCTTGCACTTCTTAGAAATTATGTATAGAGAACTCACCAAACTCAAAGTAAAAAGGCTCAGAGATCCATATCTATACACATCATAGTCAATGTGCCCAAAGAAAAAGAGAAGAACTGCAAAAGCAGCAAGAAAACAAAAATCATATACAAGGGATCTTCAGTAAGATTAACAGCTCATCAGAAATCCTATGAAGGCCAGTAGGCAAGGAAATGACATATTCAGAGAGATTATGGGGGGGTGGGGTGGGGATTCAACCGAGAATTCTATATCCAGGGAAACTATGCTTCAAAAATAAAAGTGAAATTAGAACATTATTAAATAAAACTCAGAGAAGACATCACTAACTGACCTATAAGAAATGGTAAATGATGCACTTCTAGTTGAAATAAAAAGCACTTGACAGTAACCGGAGTAAACACAAAGAAATAAAGAACACCAGTTAAGAGTAACTACACAGGTAAAGGTTTAAGATATTACAAATATGCTTTTATTTGCAGCTATATTCTCTGATTTAAAGGACAACTACATAAAGGAAAGAAGGAACAGTTAAAAACTATTGATGAGCTTAAATATATAACAACACACTTTGTATGCAACAGTGGCATCAAAAAGGGAAGGAATGGCATTATACTGGAGAAAATGTTTTACATATTATGGAAATTAAACTGGTGTTAATATGAACTCAGTTCTTTTAAATTAAAAACATAAATTTCAGTCTGCAAGGAAACCACAAAGAAAATGAAATACAAATTATACTAAAAGAAGCAAGAGAATTAAAATGGAATGCTATATTTAACACTAAGAAAAAGCATTACTGGAGCCAAAAAAGGAATCTTTTATATTGATAAGGGTCAACTTATCAGTAAGATATAATGATTATGAGCATATGTACACATAGCTACAGAGATTTGAAACACAGGAAACAAAAACTGACAAAATCAAAGATAGAAATAAATCAAAAATAATAACTGGAGACTTCAATACACTACTTCTAATAATAAACAACTGCACAGGAGCTCAATAAGGAAATACAGAAAAACACTATAAACCAACTATATCTATAGTGATAGAACTATCCACCCAACAACAGGAAAATGCTAATTTTTCTCAAGTGCATATGAAACATTCTACAGCACAGATCACATGCTAAAAGCCTCAATTATAAAATAAACCCTAATAAATTTTAAAAAATACAAAATATGTTCTCTAACTGCAATGCTGCTGTGATGTCACTTTAGTCGTCTCCAACTCTGTGCACCCCACAGATGGCAGCCCACCAGGCTCCTTTGTCCCTGAGATTCTCCAGGCAAGAATATTGGGGTGAGCTGCCATTTCCTTCTCCACTAACTGCAATGGAATTATATTAAACCTCTATTAAAAATTTCCACAATCATATGGAAATTAAACAACACACTCCAAACTAACAAATGGATCAATGAACAAATCAAATGAAAAACTGAAAAATAATGAAATGAGTGAAAACAAAAAGATAATGTATAAAATTTAAGGAAGAAGCTAATAAGAGGAAAATTTACAGTTGTAATATATACATATTAAAAAAGACACTGTATCAATAACCTAAGCTTCCATCTTCAAAAACTAGAAAATATATGAGCAAACTGAACCCAAAGGAAACAGAAAGAAGAAAATAAAAAGAAAAAAAAAGAAATAATATGAAATGGAGACTAAAAGCACAACAGAGAAAATCAACTAGACCAAGAGCTGATTCATTAACAAGATCAACAAGACTGACAAATGTTTAGTCAAAATGTATAATAACAAGACTAAAATTATTGAAATAAAAAAATAAGAAACATTACTACTGACCTTATAAAAATAAAACAGATTGTAAGGGAATACTACAAACAACTATATGCCAATACATTAGATTATCTTGATGAAGTGGACAAATTTCTAGAATGACACAAACTATCAAAACTGGTGCAAGAAAAAAATTTTAAATATGAATTAACCAAAGACAAGGGAAGAGATTAAATCAGTAATCAGGAAATTATACATAAAGAAAAGATGAGGGTAAACTGGATTCCTGGTGAATTCTACCTCACTGAAAAAATTAACAATGCTTCGCACAACACACTCTTCAAAGTAATAGAAAATGGAAGAGCACATCCAACTAACTATTAGGCAAGTATCATCCTGATACCAAAATCAGACAGACTTCAAAAGAAAACAAAAACCAAAGACCAGTATCACTCATGAATACAGAGACAAAAGTCCTCAACAAAAAACTAACTAACTGAAAAGTCCAGCAAGATATGAAAAGGACTGTACTCCCTGACCATGTGAGATTTACCACAGGAATGCAAGTTGATTTAATATATTTGAATCCAATAAATATATACCCACCATACTAACAGAATGAAGAACAAAAACCACAGGATATCTCAATAAACGCAGAAAAAGCATTTCACAAAATTCAATTTCCAACTCAGTAATATGTTGAAAGGACATGCCAAATACGCCTTCCTGATAAAAATAATCAACAAGGAATACAAGGGGACGTCCTCAAGCTTTTATTAAAGCGATGTGAAAAATCTGCAAAAACATCATACTTAATGGTTAAAGACTGAATGCCTTCCATGTAATAGCAGAATAAAATGAAAAGGCCCACTCTCATAATATCTATTCAACACTGCACTGGATGCTCTAGTCAGGGCAATTTAACAAGAAAAAGAAAAAGCATTAGATGGAAAGGAAGTAACCTTTACTAACTGATGACATAATTATATATACAGAAAAATGCTAAGAAACCCACCAAAAACTGTTAGTAATGATAAAAAGAGTTCAGCAAAATTGCAGGATAAAAGAGTTAATACACAAATTTCAACTGTATTTCTATAAACCAGTAATAAATAACATGAAAATGAAATTAAGAGAAGAATATATTCACAACACCATCAAAAAGTATTAAATAGTTTAGAATAAATTAAACAAAAGCTAGTCTAAACCGACAAAACACTGTTGAAAGAAATTTTAAAATCTCAAATAAATTAAAAGATATCCACGCTCACAGATTGGAGACTTAATGTAGTTAAAATGTATGACTAAATTACAAAGACATAGAAAATCTGAATAAACCTATAACTAATAAGGAGATTGACTCCCTAATCAAAAATCTCCTAAGAGAGTATAAAGCCCAGGATCTGACAGCCCTGATAGTGAATTCTACCAAACACTTAAAGAGCACCAGTCCTTCTTCAATTTTTCCAAAAACTTGAAGAGGAGGAAACACATCCTGATTCATGCTAGGAGGCCAGCATTACCCTGATATCAAAACAAGACAAAGACATTACACAAAAAGAAAACTACAGACCAATATCCCTTATGACCACAGATGCAAAAATCCTCAATAAAATATTAGCAAGCCAAACTCAGCAGAATATTAAAAGGATTAAATACCATGGCCAAATGGAATTTACTCCTGGAATACAAGGATGGTTCAACATATAAAAATGTATCAATAATTAATAGATAATATTAACAGAATGACAGAGGGAAAAAAACACAACCATCTCGATCATAAGGAAAAAGCATTTAACAAAATTCAACAAACTTTCATGATAAAAACACACAACAAACTAGAAGTAGAAGGAAATCATCTTAATACAATAAGTGTCACATATGTAAAACCCAAAGTGAAGCTAAGAGTCAATGAAAGACTAAAAGCTCTTCCTCTAAGATCAGGAATAAGGCAAAGGTGCCTGCTTTCACAATTTCTACAAAATACAGTACTGGAACAATTAGGCAAGAAAAAGAATTTTTAAAGCAGCCAAACTGGAAAGAAAAAAGGTAAAATTTGTTTGCAGACATGATATTATATTCAGAAAAGCCTAATGATTACACACACACACAGTTCAGTTCAGTCATTCAACCATGTCCAATTCTTTGCGACCCCACGGACTGGAGCACACCAGGCCTCCATGTCCATCACCAACTCCTGGAGTTTATTCAAACTCATGTCCATTGAGTCAGTGATGCCATCCAACCATCTCATCCTCTGTCATCCCCTTCTTCTCCCACCTTCAATCTTTCCCAGCATCAGGGTCTTTTCAAATGCATCAGTTCTTTGCATCAGGTGGCCAAAGTATTGGAGTTTCAGCTTCAGCATCAGTCCTTCCAATGAATATTCAGGACTAATCTCCTTTAGGATGGACTGGCTGGATCTCCTGCTGTCCAAGGGACTCTCAAGAGTCTTC